AATTAGAAGAAGTACATATGTACCACAAAACCACAAATCCAATCACTTACAAACGAGAGAACATTTAGAAATTCCTTTGTGTCGAATTCCAGTAAAGTCTGTATGTGTGGATAACGTGCTTTGTCTAAACAAGAGGAATCAAATGACACGTTGAGCTTTTATTGTGTGTGTGTATTGTAGTAGAAATCACTCATTTAAAGCAAAATTTGAGTTAATTTTGCATTCGTAGTAACTATGCTCTCATATCTCCGACTTATTCAATTAGTCTCTTCCTCTCTTCCCCTCTCTCTCTCTCTCTCTCTCTCTCTCTCTCTCTCTCTCTCTCTCTCTCCCTCTCTCTCTCCCTCCCTCTCTCTCACCTGAAGGATTGTGTGTGTTGTTTGGAGTTAAAATAGTTTCAAAAATCTAAACAAAAAGAGAACTAAGTCACATCTCCTCTCTCTCTCTCTCCTTACTGATGTCTTTGCTAGCAATTGCTTTGAGGGTGGGATATTTCCTGAAGGATAAGCCAAACCACTTAAACAACACCTAATAATGATAATCAACAAATCAAATCAAATCAATGATCAGTGTAATGCAAATCAAATCAAATCAAATCAGATCAATGATCAGTGTAACACAATATCACTGCACCTTATGTACACCAGCAGTTTGTAACCTATTTTCTGATAATGATCAGAGAGCGATTTGTTCCTCTTCATTGAAGTTCTTAATTGTAACAGCAACTCCTGTACATGAAACTATTAATTAATAACCTTAATAATTAACTAATTAACCAGAAGAGGTGTGGTGTAGTCATGGAGACCGGAATTATAAATATAAAACATTGCATCATACAACTGCTGTGACCAGCAAAGCTCAACTATCTAATGAGAGAGAGAGAGGGGGGGGAGAAAGAGAGAGAGAGAGAGAGAGAGAGAGAGAGAGAGAGAGAGGGGGGGGGAGAGAGAGAGGGGGGGGAGAGAGAGAGAGTAGAGTATTTTAAAGAGGCGCTTATAAACTGACATGATGAATATCAAATGAAGTTGCTTCAATATTCAAAATGCATTGCTCAAGCTCTTTTCTCGTTCCTTCCTCTTTATAAAACTCTAAAATAAAAAACAAACAAACAAATAAATAATAATAATAATAATACTCTCACCAATCAAATCCTTGGCGACTATTGTACGTACAGAAGATATCCTATTATTAAGGACAATAAATAAAAGGGCGTGGTTATGGGTGTGGTCTGACTTTTTATCAACAAGGAAAGAGTACAGTACTTCGAGGAACGTCCTTTTACAAATTTTACCCTCTCCACTAAAAGTATCGTAAAGAGGGCCAAACAAAAGATCTCTAAATAATGCCCGCCACAATAAATAAATAAATTACAAGTTGTTCTACTAACAATTTTTCAAGACGTACACAAGTATTAAAGGCAACCCTGATGACAGACTGAGGGAGAGAGAGAGAGAGAGAGAGAGAGAAATAATGAGATATTAGTTATTTAATAAATGCACCTCGTAATATTTCTGAAGGTTTTGCTCGGGGACTCTTGTCGGCTTATTAACAATCAGTTTGATGTCGACAAATCCTTGCAATATATCAACCACCTGCAAACCACATCAGACGTTTACACCTGCTGTACCATCACGTGACAAAAAAGACTTACCTGGTCCATCACAAACTCCTTTCTCTTCTTAGTAGAGCCAGACAGACCTGGGAAGAATAAAAATAAGAGAAAAATGAAACGAGAAAGTGCGTGTAGCAGGAAAAGTTTGAGGCTAAGACATTTGCTATTTTTTGAAGTATTCTATAAAATTACTCAGTCAAGATTAATCTCATATGCTATAAGAAAGCTCAATTGTAATTTTTTGTGGAGAATTGTATGAAAGTTAAGCTCCTATTTAGAGCTTTCAGTAGCAGAAAATATTCATTTTACCAACGACAGCTTTGGCCTTTCCTTCATAAAACTGTAGCCCCAACTCAATGGCTTTCACATAATCGCCTTCTTTGACAAGACTTGCAAGCCTCTAATAATAATTATAAGATAAAAAGTGATTACTTAATTAATTAACTGTCTAATCAATTAAATGATTAATTGCCTAATTAATTGATTGATTAATTAATTACTTCCTTCCATGATTTAATGACTATCTTGTGGACCGCGTGTAGCCCCAAAAGGAAGAGCTTGTTTTGATAAGACACAATGGAATTATAGCAAGCATACTCACTGGCCACAGCCTAAAAATAACAACAATCACACGGTAATATAAAAGTATAAAACAATAAATAAAAAAATAAAATATTTTAAATCGTTAATTTTGTAATATCATGAAATCTCAGTGGAAAATAATGCAAGTTTAAATTCAAAATTTTACAAATCTCTCACTAAATGAACTAAAGTATTACAGGAGGTATAGATGTACATGTATATCTAATTCACTCTTCACTCTTCATTACCAGTGCTGGACTGACGTTCCCTCCGGTTTCAAGTGATTTGTAAAAACTGGTTCCATAAACCAGTTCAACGTCTTTAAGATCCAGAACCTGAAAAAAAACATACATGTACATGTACATTGGAACAAGTGAAAGAGTTACTGATAAATAATCAACTCAACAGTATAAAAACATGTATATGCATCAGAAAATGTAATAAAAATTGAGAATTCTCTCCTAGTTATTTTTGGCAAAATTTAACCAATGACACTGTACTAATATAGTACAGGGACTTTGGCCCAATTTTTGAGTAAGTTTAAAAATTCATAAAAAATCCAAATTTAATCGGAGTCAGCTCAAACTTGCTACACAACATAAGAACATGTATATGCATCAGAAAATGTGATAAAAATTGAGAATTCTCTCCTAGTCATTTTTGGCAAAATTTGGCCAACGACACTGTACTATAGTACAGGGACTTTTGCCCGATTTTGAGCAAATTAAAAAAGTTATAAAAGATCTTATTTTGATCAAAATCAGCTCAAACTTAAAACACAACATAAAAGTATGCATAATAATAATAATTATTATTATTACTTCTATCTCCACATTATCCCTGACATTAAGCAAGTGTATTCTCTCAGTAGTGTCCATAATGACAACAATCTGACTATTGATCCACTAAAATTGTTATTAAAAAAACGAAATGTTACACATATCACATTCTCCTCCCCCTGTCTCTCACTTTGAAGCAGGTGATGGTATAGTTCACTTGCAGTTTCTTTAGCATTTGGAAGTCCGGCTTACCGTCAACCTCTTGAAGCTGAACGTAAGTTACCAAATTGTCTCGAGCAACAGCCAGGACCTAATTAGCGAGGAAGATAATTAATATTTGATTATAACATAATTAATTTATAATTTACTGACCGGGTAAAGTGCTGACTCAGATTTTTGAAGCCCTTTGTTCTCAATTAGGACAAACTGCCATGACAGCAAAGGAAGCGTATTAGGCTTCCCCTAAAATAAATAAATAAATAAATAATTTATTTATTTAAATATTAATAATCAATAAAATTGAGAACGACTTATAGTATAATAAATAAACAAATAAATAATTATTTATTTATTACTATTAATTAATTAATCACTAATAATTAATTAATCACAATTAATTATAATTAATTAATTACCGAGTGTGGAATGGCAATGAGTCCTTCCAGTCTAGGTGCCACACTGATAATAATTACCTGCCAATAAATAATTAATTAATTGATTAATTACTATAATTGAAGGGGGCGGGGCACCTGAGTCACTGTTGCCACGGCGACCATACAGTACTCCTTCAGAGGGTGACCTGGAACACTCTCAAGTTTAAGAGGCTCAAACATGAAAGCTTCACCATTACTAGTGGGGAGAGAGAGGGAGGGAGGGAGGGAGGGATAGAGGGAGGGAGGGAGAGTAGATTCTAGCAATGTACATGTACATGTAGTTGGTTACCATCCAGAGAAAAAACATTCAGAGGTCCATGTCCTGACACCAGTAAAATTACGCCTAAAATAAGACAAATAAATAAATAATTAATTAAATAATAATTACCTGAACTTGAGATAAAACACGTTACCGCCACTGTTGCTAAAAATAACTACCGAGGGATCATCAGTGAACTAAAAACACAAAAGGAGTGTCACCATGACCATAGCAACGGATAGACCACCCCCTCACTTTAATACTGAGGACGGCATAGCCAGGAGGATGAGCGTCTTCAATAAACCTAAGCGTCTTATTGCTCTCAAGATCCCAGTGAGTGATCTGAAGGGAAGAGAAGAATAAAGAGAGAGAGAGAGGGTGGGAGAGAGGGAGAGAGAGAGAGGGGGGGAGGGTAGAGTTACCAAGCCTTTAGCGTGTCCAATAAGTAGGCGTGTCCCATCGTGAATGAGATCAATTGCTGACACAGCACCAAACGAAGACTCTATTAATTAATAATTATTAATTGATTAATATTCATAAATTAATATACATGTACATGTACACGTACCTGGGTCCGGCTTAAGGTCCTTATATGGCGTAAGCATGGACTTCATTTGATCTTTAGAATCTGTTACAATTTTAATAATAATATTTAAATCATTTAAAAAGTCCTATATGTACGTGTACAGTATATACATGTACATGTAGCAGATGTATACTTACCAAACATTAAAGCTAGTCCTCTTGATGTACCAATTACTCTATACACACCAACAGCCTGAGGGAGGGAGGGGATGACCCTATGATAAAGACACTTGATTAATAACTTACTATTGCAGTAGGGGAGCCACAAAGTGCACGAACCTAAACAAACAAAAAAGAAATAAATAAAAAATTAGTAAATGATGCAAAGCTTGATAATTTTCTTACGTTGCTTCTTGTTAACTGATTAGATATCCCTTCTAGTGACGTCTGTTTGAGTATCGTACCTTCTTTTGGATGATATAATGACCTGAGGAGAGAGAGAGAGAGAGAGAGAGGTAGACTGTAAGTGACAATTCAGCGACACGTTACACGTATTACTTGTCAAGATGAGTCGGAAAACTGGGTGCGGCTAAGACACCTTCATCATTCAACAGATCTCGTAGCCCTAACTCGTCAATAGTGGGGGCGGAGTCAGTATCCTAATGATCAAACAAACATGATCATACAAACACACACAAACACATACCTCATTAAGAATACTGTCCAATGAAGGAACATCAGTTACTTTAGGAATGTCATCCTCAAACTAAAAGGAGAGAGAGTTAAACAGGCTATAATGGAGTTTTCCATTGAAATTACGTTAGAGGTATCGAGTACAGATGAGAGACCGTCAGATGCTGACTCGCTCAGCTGTGATAACGTGTCTATGACTGAAGAAGAGCCTGCGCTGCTCCCTTTACCTGGAACAGAGCCGGTAGCCATTTTGTGTGACCACGCCCTTTACCATTGAAATGGGCGTGGTTCAAAATAAATTTATTGAAAAAATTAAAAGAGTCAATTACACAGTAATTATAATTATAAAACAATATAAAAATGCATTGCATTTGTTCCCTAAAGACTCTAAATAAGAGCATAGTAGTAGAGAGTAGCTGCAAAAAGAAAAAATTACCTAATTATACCAAACATCATCACTATTATTATCATAATAATTAATAATAACATACATGTAAGTATAACCAAATACCATCAGCACCCACACATAGCTACAACTACATGTGTTCTTCTTCATTCTTCATTCTCATTTCCTATTAATCACACAATAAACACTATTTGCACTGACATAAAACCTACTTGTACTTGAAAAGCTTCAACATCATAAGGTGCAGTACTGACGTTGCTATGACAAGATGCTGCTTGAGCAGCAGGTGATGGAGTACGGCGACTAACCGACACATTAATGCTGTGACCAGGAGAATTCGGGGAAAAATTTTGGTGTCGCAAAATAACCAAAGACCCAGCAGGAGGAGCCGGCGGATTAGAATTAGACTGAGAAATATGAACGTGATGTTGGTGAATGGACGATGAAGTTTGTGGATTAGATGCAGTCCTGGAATTAAGTGAAAAGTCCTCTGGTAGAGTATTACTCTTTTTAGGCGGAGGATTTCTCTTTGAAGGAGAGTTTCCAGCTGGTTCTGAATTTTGCCTTGAGCGGATAGCTGGTTTATCAAAGGCTCCAGCAACAGAAGAAGAATAAATCTGAACAGTAGGACCAGCTGGTTCGTTTGGCCAACTATTGGTAGGGTATTCAAGTTGCCCTCCAGGTCCATAGCTATCAACTTGAGGCATCTGTCCACTGAGAAAGGGAGAAGGAAGAGGAGGAGGAACATTGATTGATTGATCGATAACCTGTTGCTGGTGCTGCTGTGATGAAATGCCAACCATAGTACCTTGTTGCCATCTTGTTGACAAGGACTCTCCAGTTTGCTGAGAGGGAGGAAGAGGAGGAGGAGGGGAACGCTGGTCTTGAGGAAGAACAGGTCGAGTATAATACTGATCATATTGAGGAGCTTGTGATGAGGAGCTAAATGACGGATGAAATGAGGAGTGACTTTGATCGTGAGGTTGAGGAGGTGGTGGGTGATAATTCTGATCAAGTTGTTGATTAGGTGGGCGGTAAGACTGACCAGATTGTTCGCGGTAATATTGATTGGACTGATGAGGAGCAGGTGGATCGGAATACTGATTAGGTTGTTGAGGATACTGAGTGGGCTGAGGGTCAAAGTGAGAAGGATGATTTTGAGGAAATGGTCGAACAGGTTGGTTCCTTTGCAGATTGGGTGACCAGTCCATTGGACGCTGGAAGCTATCAGATTGATGCAAACGGTTTGATTGAGAATGTGGTGAATTATGAAAATTATATGGAGGAGCTGAAATTTGACGTTGATATAGACCTCCTCTTCCTATTTGATGATGAGGAGGATGAACACCACGAGGGACAATAGGACGCTGTTGGGCAAAAGGAGGAGGAGGATTAAAAGAACCTCTTAAAGAATGAGAACCTAAAGGAATCATATAATACATAGAATAAAGAATACTTATAAATTCAGTTAATACTAATGTACATGTACCAATATGAAATGTCATTCACAATGAATACAAAAAATAGTATGAAGATAGTACAAAATTCCCCTATGGATTGATGACATATGGAAGTGTTTGTACTGATAGTATGTGGTATACAGAATTGTGCCAAATCATTTAATATGATATCATTAAAACCAAGTGGATCAGCATATTATTTTACAATAACTCAACATTATAGAAGCTGTATTGATAAGTACATGTACATGACAAGTTGACAACATGAAAGTGCAAGGTAACCTGCTGGATATAGCGGTTGATTTGGTACTTGATTACTTGGAGGACAAGACATACATGTATCTACATGTACTGGATCTGTATAGAATAAAGAAATAGAAAGAGTGTGTGTACATGTGTATGAGTGTTATATAGAGGAGCTAACTGTTTCCAGTAGAGGAACGTCTTTGTCCGTCATTGTAAAATTGCTCCTGGTATTCAACTAATTTATAATTTAATAATGTAATAAACATAGTGTAGACTCTATAGCTCTTACCTAAGATGTATCTGACATTAGCAAACTGGGCATCATTTTCTAATATCTTGTAAATAAACTTGAGTCGTCCAGGCGATATAATTGCTTTTTGCTCCAGTTCTCTGAAAAGGATGTAGATAGAGGTGTAATTTTCAGGATTACTGTCAATTTCGTGACAGAGCATTTCCAAAAGGGTACGCAGCAAGGGCTTGGTCAGAGAAGAAACCAGTTTTACAAGACATGATCTCATTCCAACAAGCTTGCACTTCTCATCAGGGATGTATCGATAATCCTCAAGTTTAGGTGGCCTGAACTGGTTTGGATCACGGAGGGAATCGGCGTATCTCTTTAATTCAGCCAGCTCCAGTAAAATCCTCAGAATGTCGTTGGCATCTTTCTTCTCGTAGCAATACTTGTGACGCAAATCAGCCAAAAGGGTGAGTAGGGATTTATCATCTTTTGCTTCATTTGTGAGTATTTCCGCCAGATACACGAGGGATTCTTTATCTTTGACAGAGAGCTGGCGATTCATAGTATTGAGTATCACGGCTACATCAGGAGACGACGAAGGCAACGAAGACATCTTGTTCTATCCCTTCTCCTTTTCGTTTTGCTGTCTTCTTCAAGTTCCTTTGCTTGCTTCGCTGGCTAGCAGGGAAACTCAATGGGGAGTTCCCTATTTATCACCCCACCCACATAAATATTATAATTGCAATAATCAATAGACTAATAAAATTAATCAAAATTCTACAACTAAATTTTAAAGAATGGCTATACATGCATATCTACTGCTGGCCACTCAACATTGTAATGGTATTATAAAAATCCTCTTTCTTCATATAATGTTTTGACTCGTGTCTCATCATATAAATATCCCACCAGTACTTTGCTTGCTCTGGAACTTTATAAGCAGGTGGAATAGCTTCAGCGAAATTGCTTAGATACAATCTAGCAGCTATGGCAGAATACATTGGAATGGCCAAATGTCTTCTCTCCACTGACGTCCAGTCAATCCCAAAACACCGTGAGATCTTTTCATACTTTGTTGTAAGTCGAACGTGAGTCCGAGTGTCGAGATTGTCGTTATAAGCAAAGAGACTAACTTGCCAAATGCCTCCATCTGTTTCAAGAGGAAATGGAGGATCACCAAAACGAGACATGACATGCGCCACACGTAACATAAACTGCTTATCGTCAGGAAAGATATAGGAATCAAGTAATCTCTTAATACACAACCTGGTCACGTCTTCTCCGGACTCTCCATCTATCCAGATTCGTTCTTCAAGACTAGGAACTGCTAGAGGAGACATTAGGAGAGGAGTTGCTCCTGTGGGGCCTGAAATAAAATAATAACAACAACAAGTATTGGTTTGTTTACATTATATGTACAATGTACATTACGTGAGCTACTATCACTTCTGTTATTCATTCAATTTTTACTAATACACATACAACATATCATAGATCCGCTGTACAACATGCATCATGTGTGTTGTATGTATATTTAATCATTATTATAGTTATCAGTATGTACCTGTCATTGTGTCAGGGGTCTTTGGTGGGTGATACTGATACTCACTAACAACTGAACTATAATCAGGCGGTTTTGATGAAGGCAACAAAGCTCCTCCTTCTCCTCCTCCTTCCCATATGACAGGAGGGGGAGGGGGTCCTCCAGTTAATTGAGACACAGGAGTAGATTGTCCTCCTCCTGATTGGTTAAGAATAGGCCCAGCTGGAGTAGTGAGAGATGATTGAGAAGGAGGAGGAGGAGGGGGAGGGAGGGATGAGTCCAGCCCATGCATTGAATAAAGAGGTGAAGAAGGATCAAAATGAGCTAGTTGAGCTGAGCTGTAGTAACCAGTTGGAGTCACTTTTCGATGAGAGAAAAAGAAGTGTCTGAAATCTTCACTGACTCGATCCATTAACTTGATTTCTCCAATCCCTCTCAATCCGTTAATAATGGCCGATATCTCCTCTATCCTTATCAACTTGACATTCTCCAGTCTCCGATAAAAGTTCATCCGCTCCATCTGCTGATTGAAAGGGAAGGACTCCGGTATGCCAATGTACTCGTCTTGTGGTGACACGATACGAATGAAATTAATATAAGTATCCCTGTCACGAAACTCTTCGCTCAAGTCCATGCGTACCATTACAAGTCTGAGCATCATCTTTGGATTAGGAGGCATCCATTCATGAGGCAGTGGATTATCAACCAGGAGCGATTCCATGTGCTCCTTGACCAGAGACTCATTATAAGTGTGGGATAGAGCCCAGGCTATGTACCAGAGTGGATGGTCTTTGCCAAGGTTTCTTTTCGAAAGAGAGAAGTACATTGAGTATAAGTCGTTGCTCTGAGCATCATCGGTAAGTAGGTACTCCAATAGGTAATAGACACGTGGCAGGACACGTGGTATGTCTAGTTTAGACATAAGAGCATCAAACACTTTCTTTACTTCAGCCTTTGAAAGACTAGCAAATGACTCGGCCACTTTCTCTTTAAGAGCCTTTAGGCCGAGAATCTCAAGGACATTTAGCAAAGGTTCTATGTTGCTGGTACTAATCACAGAACTCTCTTCAAGGCGACGATAAAGATCCATACGCAAGTCAGGCCTATTTGGAGGATAATTAGAAACACTGCCAATGTAATCGTTATATGATGAAATTGTGCGGGTAAATGTGTTAAAGACAGTTTGGTCTCTGAGGGAAATATCGACACTAACTAGTATCATTCTTAGAAGGAGAGTTGATTCAGTAGGAATCCAGTCTGATGGAGGAGGGTTGGGGATTAAAGGGTACAAATATTGACCAGCTAGTCGCTCATTTTGAGTACCGTTGAGAACCCAAAGCATGTACCAGAGAGGGTTGAGGCCATTAAGATCCCTCATCTGCAGCGACTGGTACATTGAGAGGAGATTGTCCCTCTTGGCGTGTTCAGTAAGTAAGGTCTCCAATATATAATAAATACGAGGCAGGCTTGTGCTTCGGTTCATTTTTGATTGGATCGAACGAAACGTTTTCTTGAGTTGAAGCGAATCGACGTCACGCAGTAGAAGAGCAAAGTCTTCCTCGATCTCTGTCTTTAGCTTTAAAAGTCCCAATCGTCCCAATATACCAGTCAGTGCCTCAATGTTTTGCGGGACAATGTAGCATTTCTCTTCCAACAAGCGGTAGAGGTCCAATCTCTTAGTGTAGTCGTTGTGTGGGTAATGGCTGTGATGACCCAGTTCAGTATAATCCGATAAAATAAATGAGACATAGGTTTCGTACTGAGACGGATCGCGTGACGAGAACTGAGGGTTCATATCGATACGTGTCATTAGAAACCTCATTAGCACCCTGGGGTCATCTGGGTTCCATTCTTCAGAGAAAGAAGACGAGTCAAAGAGATCTTTGAGAAATTTACGAGCTACACCTTCATTAGCTGTTGCTCTAAGAGACCAGTAAAGATAATGAAGGGATTCTTCATCTCCCAAATCCCTCTTCAGTGACTCGTGTATTGAGAGAAGATTATCAGACTCGACTTCACCAGTCAGGAGCGGCTCCAGTAGATAGTATATACGAGGAAGAGAAGAATCCCTTGGAATCTGTCGTGAGACTATTAACAACTGCTGGATTATTTTCTGCTTAGCTGAAAGATCCATGAAAAAAGGGAAAAAATTAGCTAGCACAACACAGCAGCCACACCTTCTTCCATTAAAAGGGTGTGGTTAAAATAGATAAATTAAGTTTTATTTGTTTTGGCGGGGTTCTGTTGTGCGCATGCGTAGGTTATCCGCCATTTTGCAGGAAGCAGGAAGTTATGAATGTCTTCTCGTTTTACAGCAACACAATAATACTGGAAGAACAGGTCCCTATAAATACTATAGCCTTCCTCTTCCAGTAGTTAAAGAAGACCATAGCTTACCTCCAGTCCCAGTAGATAGACACACTCTCTCAGTATCAGCCCTACTCTTTTCTTGAAGCTTTTCTCCTCTCTCTCTCTCTCACCTTCTCTGATAAAGACTCCATTTAAAAGTGAAGCTATTCCAGAGACAGGGAAGCATGGATTGTAAAGTCTTGCTCATTTCTTCTAACCTTGGCTCAGTTTTTGAAGAAGTAAGAGTCATTATCTGCACTGCAGTACTCCAGATGCATGTTATACATGTACAAGTACATGTATCTATTCTATTTTTGAGTTACTAGTGCATTCACCTGTTTCTTATATTGTTTGTGCCTACCTATGTGTATTCTTTTTATTATTTAATTTTCTATTTGGCACCATTTGGTGTCACTTTTTTGCTACGTGCCAATTGTAATACTATTAATCTTCTCTCTCTCTCTCTTTCTCTCCTATTCACCAGCCTTCCATAGAAAAGAAGTGGCTTGCAGAGTTCAATAGAGTAAGTGTGTACATGCCTGTACATGTACATGTACACATGTACGATTAATGTAGAGGCTAATGTACTATAACTGTGTATATGTACATCATTATGTAATGTCTCATGTGGTTTCCTATTTCCTCCTTGCTACCTTGTGTTCTCTCTCCCTCCCTCTCTGTCTCTCTCTCTCTCTCTCTCTGTCTCTCTGTCTCTCTCTCCCTCCCTCTCTCTCTCTCTCTCCCTCTCTTTAGATGGCAGTGGAGAATACTCCGGACATTATTGCCCTACACTGTCAGGAAATTGGTGGGAAGGATTTTGGGGTCACAATGCCGATGGTGTTTGAGTTTGTTCGGTTAGTGAAAAGTATTGAAATAGACTCTACGATGTGTGTGTGTGTATGTGTGTGTGCATACGGCTATATGAGTGTTTTGCTGTTTGTCTATTTGAGCATATTTTCATGCTGACTGTCTCAACATTATCATTGGATGCTTGGGAAACTTGTCATTTTCCTTCTCTCTCTCTTTGATATTTTGTCCAGTGAGCATTTCACACTGCACCTTAAGCACCTGCTTAGGCTGAGCGGGTACAAATTGGAATATTTTGATTTTAGAATTAAACAGTTTGTAGCTTAGTCAACTTCCTTTGGTAGCTTGTACTTCCACCCTCCCTCTCTCTGTCTCTCTCTCTGTCTCTCTCTGTCTCTGTCTCTCTCTCCCCCCCTCTCTCTCCCCCTCTCTCTCCCCTCCCTCTCTCTCTCTCTCTCCCCCTCTATTATTTCCCCAGTCACCCTACAACTTAAAGTGTTTACAAAAGTATCTATATAATCTCGTTATATTCTCCTATACATATCTTTGCATGTGTTGACATCTTCTATTTTGCTTCTATAATTGTCATCCATCTTTGAAATATTCAGTTGTTGATGATAACTAATTACAGAGTTATGCCTGAAACCTTATATCACTTGTAAAGGATACTCCTGTAACTCTGTCATGTTTTCTATTGTCCAGCAATGAACTAAAAGTGTTTAATAAATAATAATATACTATTAGCATATACATGTACATGCATTTAATTGTTCACCATACTATTAAATGTACTGTTAATATACTAATATGGTGCTTAGTATACCGTTAATATACTAATATGGTGTTTAGTATACCGTTAATATACTGGTAGTATACTGATACTAGGATCTGCTTATTAATGATATGAATTCCAGATAATTTTGAGCCCATTATAGCTTTCAATTGTAAAATAGTGCAATCTTCCTATAAGGTTTGAATGGAGCTGGTTTGCCTTCTTGTTGAGCAATTTACATGTATGCTACCTCTTTACAGCTGTCTTTTAACTTTTCAAAATACATGTACATGTACGTCGCAAAGTTTCTGCATGTCATGCCTTTATATCATAGAAGGTAGCTGTACATCAACTCCTGCTGAAATGGATTCCTTGGAAAGCACATATGAATAGAATTATGCTGAATCTGTTTTCATTGTAAAGTGCCTGTCCTGTATAAAGTATTACATTATAGTTTGGATAGCCTAGTGTCCTGTTTTTATAGTTTTATTTTGTTTTATTTTTCAGGAAAATCAGAGAGCTACCTGGACTGACATTATTTGACAGAGTCCGCACGTTCATGGATACTGATTTCAGCATTGCTGATCAATTCACGGTGAGTCACTACTTCTGTCAAATTAGAAATAAATGAATTATGCTGATAACGATCATGCTTGCTAAAAACTTTTATGCTTTCTACAGGCTCTTGGTAATTTTTACTTCTTTCACTCGAGACTAGGATCTGTCAAGATTTGGAATTTTAGTCGTGAGTTTAATAATACACACACACACACACACACGTGTGTACAAATTTGTATATACATGTACATCATCATTATTTTATTATAATTTTATTATTATTTTATTACTATTATTATTATTGCTATTATTAAATCAAAAGTAGCTAGTGTCTATTATTAATTACCTTTAGCTCTTGTTCCCATTGCTCATTATAAGAATATGTGATATTTATCCCCACTAGCAGTAGCAGCTGCTCTCCTTTAATTTATTTTTAAAAAGTGTCCATATCTCTCTGTACTTTGATCTCATTGATTGATATTTGATGAGGGCAGCATGTTACATAATCACTAAGAGGGAGGACATGTAATTCCAGTCCTTTATTAAATAATAAATATAATTATTTATTCCTCTTTCATATTTTCTTTACAATAATTATTATTTTGTTTGTCGTTTTGTTGTTTAAGCCAAAACTTCCTTTATTACTTGTTGCAGCTGTTATAATTTGTGTGAAAGTTCTAATGGGCCGCTTCACTGCCAAGTTATGACTCTTCGCTACACGAGAGTTGTAAACACATGTTTGCTAATTAGCATAGTGTTGGCCTGTGTATTGCCAATTATAGTATCTGGGATTTGGAATTATATTTTTTCGAGTTGTTTAATCTTTTGAAGTGTCAAAATTTAAACTGTCCAATATTTGATGCTATAATGAGATAATCAAATTGAACAAACTGGCCAGTTGATCAACATTTAGTAATTTTGCTGAAATGTTTTCGTTTTAATAAATTAATCCTTATATGTACATGTACATATTGTATGAGGAATAGATTAAGTCCTTTCTCTCTCTCTCTCTCTCTCTCTCTCTCTCTCTCTCTCTCTCCCCTAATCAACCCTTCAAAGGTGTATTTGTGTGTGTACAGTAAGTGGAATTTGTTTTCCTTGAGAGACAGGCCATTATTCACATTCAATGTGTCTGTGTACTCAAACATTGAATTATGATGTGTACATATACAATCATACATACACTTGTATTGAGTCACCTGATGCATTAATGTACGTGTAAATCAAGGAAAGGAGAATGTATACAGTCAACCCTCTGACCTCCTGTTTATCCTCTACTTATAGTTCTAGTTCCTTTGGAGATAGACCAATCATACATACATATGCACATACCTGTATGTGCATCATTAATTCATTATGTATGTACACATGTATGTACATGTACATACATATGTACATGTACATACACATGTACATGTACTATGTATGTAGTATACATGCAGTACATATAGTTTGGGCTTGTGGTATGTTTGTGATAGTACCCAATCTTGCTGTCTTGTTTTTGTGTGTTAAAACTAGCCCTGCCCTTTTTTAATTCTGAGAGACTGAGGCTATAGTATATTTTAAAGTAATTATTATGTTTTCTTTTTTTACATTTAGGCAAGGAGTTTGAAGTTGTACAGAAAGAAGTGAGTTGCTTTTTGGAGTGAGAGAGAGAGGGAGAGGGAACAAAGAATTAAGCTGTGCATGTATTTATGTTTATAATGTATTTTATTTTTTTCAGTCATTACCAGTGACACAGAGTAAAGGTGCTCAGCTAAATCAGGCATTACAAAATGATCCTTGTCATATAAAGGAAAGATATCCCAATGAATTTTATCCAACTGTATGTCTATGACTGTGTGTTTGTATATTGTGATAAAAACATCTCTCTCTCTCTCTCTCTCTCTCTCTCTCTCTCTCCCTCTCTCTCTCTCCCTCTCTCTCTCTCTCTCTCTCTCTCCCTCTCTCTCTCTCCCTCTCTCTCTCTCAGGTGAGGTGGTCCAGAAAGGGTTATCTTGCTACTAGGTGGTCGGTTAACGGGTAAGTAAATTAATGTTAATAATATTAAATATATTATCACCACTCTTTTTTAGTTACAATTTCAGTTTGGCTAACGTGCACTTATTTCACGACGAAGATAATTTAGTCGCTTTAGAACAAGTGAGTTATCGAAAAAGGGTGGGGCTGGTTATTGAAATAGGCAGAGGCAAGTTATTAATGTTTTACTATCTGTATAGTCACCTTCGTGTTACAGTCAATATAGAAATCGTGCATTGAAGTACACAACTGAGAGGTAGGGGGAATCATTAATTATTATTTTTTCATAAATTTTCCTTTGCAAAAATAAAATTCTGTCATTTTTTGCTCGGCCTATGCTTGTATGTGTTATTGCTTTTGTTTATTTTTCTTTAATTTCCTTTATTTTTCCTTATTATCATATCTTGCATAAAACAAGCAATGGATAAGGAAAGGCATGTACATGTGTAAACTACACATCACATCTTTTATACACTCTCTCTTTCTCTCTTTTTCCTGGCCTTCTCTCTCTTCCTCTCTCAGACTATCACATCTGTTAGTAGGTTCTGATCCTTTCTTTATGTTTGGTGACTTCAACTTCAGATTAGATTTTCCAGCTGTCATTAAGGTACAATGATAGCGACATGTATATACCTGTATGTACTATGTTCCTGTAGTTTGGTCAAACTCCTAAACCAACAGTTTTTACATTTTCTGATGAAAAATACCCAAGGCTATATAGCCCATGGTTTTTTTCCAAAAAATGGCTCCGAAATCACCCCCAATTTTTATTACATTTTCTGATACATATTGATGTACTTATGCTGTGTAGCAAGTTTGAGCTGATTCCAACTTCAATTTTTCAAGTTACGGCCATTTTAAGAAAACGTCTAAATTCTGAAAAATACCCAAGGCTATAGCCCATGGTTTTTTCCAAAAAATGGCTCAAAAATCACCCCAATTTTTTATTACATTTTCTGATGCATATTGATGTCCTTATGCTGTGTAGCAAGTTTGAGCTGATTCCAACTTCAATTTTTCAAGTTACGGCCATTTTAAGAAAACGTCTAAATTCTGAAAAATACCCAAGGCTATAGCCCATGGTTTTTTCCAAAAAATGGCTCAAAAATCACCCCAATTTTTTATTACATTTTCTGATGCATATTGATGTCCTTATGCTGTGTAGCAAGTTTGAGCTGATTCCGACTTCAATTTTTCAAGTTACAGTCATTTTAAGAAAACGTCAAAATTTTGAAAAGTACCCAAGGCTATAGCCCATGGTTTTTTTCCAAAAAATGGCTCAAAAATCACCCCAATTTTTTATCATATTTTCTGATACATATTGATGTCCTTATGCTGTGTAGCAAGTTTGAGCTGATTCCGACTTCAATTTTTCAAGTTACAGTCATTTTAAGAAAACGTCAAAATTTTGAAAAGTACCCAAGGCTATAGCCCATGGTTTTTTCCAAAAAATGGCTCCGAAATCACCCCAAATTTTTATTGCATTTTCTGATACATATTGATGTCCTTATGCTGTGTAGCAAGTTTGAGGTGATTCCAACTTCAATTTTTCAAGTTACGGCCATTTTAAGAAAACGTCAAAATTCTGAAAAATACCCAAGGTTTTTTCCAAAAAATGGCTCCGAAATCACCCCAATTTTTAATTGCATTTTCTGATACATATTGATGTCCTTATGCTGTGTAGCAAGTTTGAGCTGATTCCAACTTCAATTTTTCAAGTTACGTCCATTTTAAGAAAATGTCAAAATTCTAAAAAATACCTTTTTCCAAAAAATGGCTCCGAAATCACCCCAATTTTTTATTGCATTTTCTGATACATATTGACGTCCTTATGCTGTGTAGCAAGTTTGAGCTGATTCCGACTTCAATTTTTCAAGTTACAGCCATTTTAAGAAAACATCAAAATTCTGAAAAATACCCAAGGCTATAGCCCATGGTTTTTTCCAAAAAATGGCTCCGAAATTACCCCAAATTTTTATTGCATTTTCTGATACATATTGATGTCTTTATGCTATGTAGCAAGTTTGAGGTGATTCCTACTTGAAATTTTCAAGTTACGGCCATTTTAAGAAAACGTCAAATTTTGAAAATTACCCATGGCTATATAGCACATGGTTTTCTTCCAAAAAATGGCTCCGAAATTACCCCAGATTTTTATTGCATTTTCTGATACATATTGATGTACTTATGCTGTGTAGCAAGTTTGAGCTGATTCCGACAATTATTTTTTGAGTTACGGCCATTTTGTAAAAATGTACCAATCTCTACTAATCATTCATCTTGTACTACATGTTGAGCTTATGGACAGTTGGCATTATTATTATTATTTACATGTACTTGTACATGTACACAATGTACACATTTATTGTTGTTGTTATTGTTGTTGTTGTTAATATTGTTTTTTGTTGTTTTTATAGCACATGGCGACACAGTATCATCAGCCTCAGTTTATAAGGAGTGACAATGGGAGCTTAGAGAAAGTTGTGTATCGGAATCCTCTCTCATCCGATGAGAAGGATAGCCTCTCTATAGAAAGAAGGAAGTTCTTCAGCAACTCACACTGTACCTTATTCACTGATAAATACACAGAGGTACACACATAAACACACTCTATGCATAATTCATGTAACTAGTGATCTATGCTTCTACATATTAATGACATGTGTCCCAATTGGTACAAATCTATACAAAAGTTTCTGTATTAAGGACAAGTAGTGTGGGCCCAATGGTGTCCTTAATAAAGAGACTACACTGTACATGTATTAAGGACAGGTAGTGTGGGCCCAATGGTGTCCTTAATAAAGAGGCTACACTGTACATGTACATGTATTAAGGACAGGTAGTGTGGGCCCAATGGTGTCCTTAATAAAGAGGCTACACTGTACATGTACATGTATTAAGGACAGGTAGTGTGGGCCCAATGGTGTCCTTAATAAAGAGGCTGCACTGTACATGTATTAAGGACAGGTAGTGTGGGCCCAATGGTATCCTTAATAAAGAGGCTACAGTGTACATGTATTAAGGACAGGTAGTGTGGGCCCAATGGTATCCTTAATAAAGAGGCTACAGTGTACATGTATTAAGGACAGGTAGTGTGGGCCCAATGGTATCCTTAATAAAGAGGCTACACTGTACATGTATTAAAGACAGGTAGTGTGGGCCCAATGGTGTCCTTAATAAAGAGGCTACACTGTACATGTATTAAGGACAGGTAGTGTGGGCCCAATGGTGTCCTTAATAAAGAGGCTACACTGTACATGTATTAAGGACAGGTAGTGTGGGCCCAATGGTATCCTTAATAAAGAGGCTACACTGTACATGTATTAAGGACAGGTAGTGTGGGCCCAATGGTGTCCTTAATAAAGAGGCTACACTGTACATGTATTAAGGACAGGTAGTGTGGGCCCAATGGTGTCCTTAATAAAGAGGCTACACTGTACATGTATTAAGGACAGGTAGTGTGGGCCCAATGGTGTCCTTAATAAAGAGGCTACACTGTACATGTATTAAGGACAGGTAGTGTGGGCCCAATGGTGTCCTTAATAAAGAGGCTACACTGTACATGTATTAAGGACAGGTAGTGTGGGCCCAATGGTGTCCTTAATAAAGAGGCTACACTGTACATGTATTAAGGACAGGTAGTGTGGGCCCAATGGTGTCCTTAATAAAGAGGCTACACCCTGTACATGTATTAAGGACAGGTAGTGTGGGCCCAATGGTGTCCTTAATAAAGAGGCTACACTGTACATGTATTAAGGACAGGTAGTGTGGGCCCAATGGTGTCCTTAATACAAAGGCTGTACTTAAGTAATGCAATACCTGAGGGATCTCTTGAGACACATACACTGTATATCAAGGGACTCAGTTTAACATTACAATACTTATTTTAAGACTCTACAGACTCTACATGTTATTCAGTAACAGATGTGGATTTATGTTAATTTATTATATTATGATTGGTTCCTCTAGTTATTACAGTATGATAAGGAGCTCTCACATTTCAAAGAGTTCAGAGAATTGCCCATACACTTTCAACCAAGGTAACACCCACACAAACAACATTAATTAAATTCATACATAGTTTAAACAGAGGGTGTGTCTCACCCCCGCTAATGATATTCATGATCACTACCAAGGAGGTCAATGAATGTTTTTGGCGGCCTAACCCACCTGTAGTTTTGTTAGAGGTGTGGTCTGTCTAGGGGGAATGATTATTGTTATGGGATGTGTTTGTTTTGGTGTGGAATGTGTCCACTGTGTGTTGTTACTTGTTATGAATATGACCTCTTCCTTTCCCTCTCTCTATTTCACACACACACACACACACACTCTCACATATGCACTGTAGCTACCCATTTAGTGAAGATGCTTCAGTAAACAATGAATACATGGAAAAAAGGTAATTAATGATATTTTATGATTCAGATACATGTACATGTATGTGTACATACTGTATGTACATGCATATATGTGCCAATATTCATGATTGTTATTAAAAAATCATTTCTTCATTTTATGATCGCTTTTAAGCAACTAAAATAACAGCCCTTTCACACTGAATCCTTTAATTGCTAATGATTATAATAATTGTGCTCATTTGTAAAAGAATATAAAATTATATTTATTGTTGTATTAATTGATAGTTATTAATTCACTTATCGCTTGTGTTGATCTGATATTCAATGTATGTGTATAAGAATAAATGATTTCATGTATTGTAGCAGCAGCAGCATGTATAATATTAGACTTTAGACTTCGTTTAATGACAGACACTTCAGACTAGAAGAAGGAGAGAGAGAGAGAGTGATTGTTAGATCAAGGAATAAATTTTGGAGACCAGTCTACGTTGTACTTTAAGAGACAGAATTATGTACACTACACGTGTATACCTTTAGACCCAACAGTGATCACACTCAGCAATTAAGAATCTATTACATTTTTGAGTAGTCAAAATAATATCTTTTCTCTATAAATCAACATCTCAATTTCCTTCTCCATGTTTCTTCCTTGAAAAGTGTACATTAGCCCGTAATTGGTTCAAGGTAATCCTTAGTCTGGTTTTTGTGGAGACATATTTCAGCTACATGTGACATTAGTAAGAATACAGGAATGATAATTGATGAGTGCTAATAGTAGCAATGTGTAGTGAGTTTGTGTATACCTAACCTTGTCATAACTGGCCATCTTTGTCCTTAAGATGTCTATGTAGTTATCTTATCTCTTAAAGCATGTCTGCCTGGCCAGAGGTGGGATAAATAATACACAAGTACTCTTCTGTATCTAATGCACTTGCTAGCTGTAACTGTACTTGAGTAAGGAGATAGGTCCATGTAGCTGTACTTTATGAAGAAGCCATTTCAAAGTTACATATTTTAATGGCTTCCTGTCTCAGTGTCTGCAGACACACACAGTTGCCTCTCTCTCCCTCCCTCCCTCTCTTTCTCCTACACATTCCTGTAGCCTGAGTCTATTGCTGGTTGTGAGTATGAAGGATTGTGTATCTTTACTAATTCAATATGTTGTGGTTAAAGTTTAGTATGGGCAAACATGTACATTCAATAAAGACTTGTGTATTTAGTATATACTGTCCTTATGTACTATGGCATGCATGTTAACATACATGTATTTGTATTTGTAGCATCTAGTACACGTATTTACATCTAGTACAACCATAAATGTCTTATTATTGTAAACTTGGCATTGTTTAAGAACGCACGACTTGTTTTTGTCGTTGTTTATGATTGTGCTTGTTTTTGTTTGTTAGATGCCCGGGCTGGTGTGATCGCATTGTTATGAATGGGCCGGCAATGGAACTAGTAAAAAAGGTACTTACACGTACATGTACATGTACACGTACATGTACATGTATATCCACATACGCCATACAAATACATGTACATGTTTTTGCATGTACTGTTACAAGTCCATTGTGATTTGGTTAGTTTTTTGTTATTATTGGATGAGCCATTAGTCATATTCATTCTTCCCCTCTTTATTTTTAAAAATTATGACTCTCCCAGTTATGTCTTTCATTATCTCTTCTGGGTTGGTGTATTCATGATTATTATGGTGGCTGGCTTGAATGTCGAGTTTACACTAGTACAGGATTGAGGGAAAACATTCTAATTGTTTAAAAATATTCATTACCTTTCTGTCAGTCTCTGTCGGTCAACCAAGACTGCTATTAATTAGGCTGAGAATATTCATAAGGTTGTAATTATATTCATCTCATCATTTAGAGCTCCATTACTCCTGTATATGACCTAATGGGCAGAGAAGTATGCACTGGAGATCACAAGGTATATCAAACATATTGCAGCTCCTTGTTGGTATGAAAATAGCTCATTGTATGTACTATGACTGTGTGTGGTGGCCCTATAGTGAAGCTCCCCCACACAATAAAAGGAGGGAAAGAGAGAGAGGGAAAGGGGTAGAGTACAGCTGCTTTTTTAATTTTAGGCAATTGTTTATTAGATGTGTTAGTTAGTTGGTTGTATTTGTACAGTAGAGGGTCAGTTGTTGTTTGTGCCCTCACTTCATGAGTCATTGATTACTGGTTGTACCATATGTTCCATTTTAACTCTGTTTGCTGGTTATCATTGTAATTGTCATAACTGATGAATAGTTTAGCTGGTGGTTAGTATAGTATAGTACTCCTTGTTATTGGAGAGCATCTTTTACCTTCCTTTGCTGACTTTAAGATTATAAACTGGCAACTGCATGTACATGTATATGTACATATATACATATATGTATAGATTCAATCCTTTCTTATTCTTTTTATAATGTGCATATGCCTTATAATGTATTTCTTATAGTCTCTTAGTGTTTTATAAAGTATTATCCTTTTTTCTCTCTCTCTCTCTCTGTAGCCTGTCTATCTCTCATTCAGTTTTAAAATCTCAGACAATGATACCTCCTATCCCCAACCACCAGAAGACCAAAGGCAGCCATTAGCACAAGGTGTGTCCCTGTACTATCATACATATACACAGGCTCTGGTACACTCTTGCATGTTTTGGGTCATGTCCATCTTGCATTTATTATTACTTTTATGTGAAAGGAATCATGTTTATATTCCAATATTTATTTGTACTATGATAATGGACGAACTGTTTGTATGCTTTATGATAGTGTGTGCTGGAATGAGGAGCTATGAATTTTCAATGAATGTTAGGTTTTGATAGTAAATCACTTGCTTAGCCTCATTCATATTTTCTCTCCTTGTTCATTGTTTTGACAAAGTGGTAGCCCTGAGCCCCTTTCCTAAGCTATAAATCTCATTTAGTTTTTCACTAAGTAAAAGAATTTGTGTATTCATTAGTAGTTGTCATTGCAGCACATACTTTATCTCACTCTCTCAACTCTGCCTCTCTCTCTCTGTCTCTCTTGTGTTCTCTATTTTTCTTTGTTGCCATTTAAAGAAAGCAGTCCCATTTCCTCCATTGCTAGCTTGGGCTTTGGTCTCTTGCCTCTTTTTAATGTCATTTTTCTTGTCTTTTTTTAACCTTTTGGCTCCCTTTTTTTGTAGATCAATAGCAGTTCAGGATTGTCCCCCCAGCCTCTGTTGTACTACTCCTCCCTCCCTCCCTTTGTGCATGTTCTTATTAAATTATTATGATATATTATATGTTATTATTGTTATTATTATTATTATTGTCATTATTATTATTATTATTTTAAGACATTCTCATGTAAAATTTTTAAACGTAGGCATACGTATATATATTATTATTATTATTTTATGTGTATTTTAAACTCATAGACACACATATATATACATGCATATAATATGGAAGTGATAGAGATTAAATAGCATTACTGATATTATCTTTTTTTATTTCTCATTTGTGTAAAATATTTAAAACACTTATTTTAATGATTATTAATAGAAACTTTTCTCTCCATTATTATAGCTCTTGGTATGACTGCCCTCCACCAGCTTCCAGTCCTACTCTCCTCATTTCTGCCCCGGCCCCATTCACAATCTATACTTAACGCCGCTAATAGCGGCAGTATTTTTGCACCTCGCCCGCTACTTCACCCTGGAATGTCACTGGTGCATGGATCTACACCGTCGTCCACTCCTGTATCCCCTATGACCTCTGTACCTAATCCTACTCTTCCGCTCTCTGTCCAGCAATTAGGAAAACCGTCTCTTCCTGCTCTCCCTCCACTTCCCATTTCGCTCCAGCAGCTCGGAAAACCCACTCTACCAATGCCTCCCTCTCTGTCTTTCTCAATAAGCCACTCTACTGTCCCCTCAGTTCCTACTCCTCTTCTATCTCTCTCTTCGGTCCAGCAGTCAGGACTACTCTCATCTCTGGCTCCTAGCTCTTCTTTTAAATCAGGTACTACTTTTACTGTCTAGTGTGGTTTTTGGTTTTGTGCATGAAAGGTGGGGGCGGGAACTGGCGCGTTAGTGGGCGGATATTTTTAAATTATTTTTGGTATGTAAAGCGATATCACTCGTTGGGATCTCTCCTCTCGCCTATTTATTCTTTATAAACACGCCTCTCTCAGTCTTTCTCTCTCCCTGTCTGTTGGAGAAGGTTGCTCCCTGTCTGCTAGTCTTGTATCCCCGGCCCCAATCTCCACTCAACCATGCAATCCTACTACCAGCAACGAGGGCCTCCTCCCGGTGATGGTAACACAACTGGTCCTTCCTATCCCCAAGGATACCCTAGCGGTGGGCCTCTTCACCCAGCCACTGCTGCTGCCGCTGCCGCTGCTGCAAGAATGCAGTGGAGCCCCAATGTCCATCCAGGACAGTGGACGTACGACTTCTACCACCATCAGCAGCAGGTAGCAGCCGCGGCAGCAGCCAGCTATCACCAGCAACAGAGCAACAATGAAGGACAGCAATCAGCTACCTCTCCTACTGATCACAGCGCTGCTGCAACTCCTCACAACATTAGGGATATACTGGGCGTCCAGCAGCAGCAACAAGCAGCAGAGACTCTGGTCAGCGAAGTTGCAAAGACGCCTTCTTACCAGAAGTCGCCAACCAGTGCTGCGGCAGTCGCTGGAAACATATTCCACTATCCTTCTCCTGCGCACCAGGATCTCAGGTCTCCCACAACTCCTAATCAAGACCATATGACTGCTCCTAGCTTTTATTTACCTACAGTGGCTGCGGGAAGACCATTTGGTAAGATATTGCTGTGGGGGTCAGCCATAGTCACGGTGCACCGGCCAGCTTTGCCCTGCAGGGAAAACTCGCAAATGCTTGTAGTCTGGCCATGCATGCAATTTAAGGTGTATCCCTTTTCTCTCTGATCCTCCTCTTATCCCTTCAGCAATATACACTTTGGGCAGTCCTTAGCTTTTGTGAGGCCACGGACCTCCTCTTTATATGAGAAGCATGCAAACTGTAGTCATTAACACACTACTGACTCTAAAACTATTTTTGGTTGTCCTTGAGAGCCAAAAACACTTGGGCAAACTCATTAATATTAATTTACTTAAAATTGTATTTAGATACTTGTAGACTGTAGCAACTCCTCGATTTTTATCATAACCATATCTTCCTCTCTCTCTCTCTCCTTCCCCCTCTCTCTTAATTTCTTTAATAGTTGGTTTTGATCCTTCTGCTCTTGGAGCTGATGGTGTCTCCATACCAGGTACTGTCCTTTATTCCAGTCCCCCTGGTGGGCCCCCTCACCTCACACTCCAGGACCCAAAAGACAAATCAAACAGCTCAAAAGATAAGAAAGACAACAAGAAAGGCCGAGCCACTTTCTCTGGCAATCAAATAGACGAATTAGAGAAGGCTTTCGTGTCGACACAATACCTCACTAACTCTGAGAGATCCAGGCTAGCAGAACGCCTTGATCTCTCAGAGAGTCAGGTTAAGATTTGGTTTCAGAACAGGCGTACTAAATGTCGGAGAACTGCATGGAAATCTGGTAGCGTTACATCTCCAACCACACCCACTGCCCCTCCCACCGTACTCAGCTCAGACACACAAGTAACTGTTCCTCAATAGATTTTTTTCTATTAAAAATTATTATTATTATTATTATTATTGTAAATTTCGAAGATATTTATAAAGAGATAGTTTACTTTACCACAAGTCTCTTATTTATTATTACTATAGCTATATAAGTTGGTTATTGTTCTTTTTCCATTATTAATAATGCTAATAAACTAGCAGTTAATTAAATGTTTAATTAATTAACGGAACAATAACAATAAATCCATTATTGTCGACTAGACTTGTCGTTAAGGTCCCGTTCATCTCCGTATACTATCTTGTAGGTGATAGACGGATTTTGTTCTTTCTTTTAAAATTTCATTTTTTTCCTTACAATTCCTTGCTCCCTGAAACTTTTAAACCTTTCACAAGACTCAGGGCCATTTTTTTCTTCAGGTAAGGAAGGGAAGAAGTACAAGGCGGGTAAAGTAGATTCATGGGCCCACGTTTGTCACTCATTAATATGCCGCTGGGAGGAAACTTTTAATTGATGACTTCTCATCATCATTCATTATTATTATTGTGCCCCATTATGAACGCCATTGGAAACGATCCCCTCCTACCCACAGGTTGTCATGGAAGCTGAGACATTCGAGAAAACTGGAGGGAAGGAAGGCCAGCCAGAGGTTATAGCAGCTGTTAGTCTTGAAGGAGCCTTTCAAGGAACTCCCAGTAAAGAAGGACTTATCATTTCAGGTAATGGTGGCCACTAATCATTGTTTTGTTTCTTTATACAAGCACTAATATTGTGTAGAGGTCTGCCATCACTTTATTCCCCTTCATTTCTTTCGCTTTATTTCTGTACATTATGCTGACTATTATTATTACTATCATTAATTTTATTATTACTATTTTTATTGTAGTACAAGTCTACTACTATACTGTAAGTTACGGCATTGCTCGATTGATATTCTTCATGTCATAATCATGTAGTAATGGTAGCTTTCAGTATGAGGATTGCATACTTGCTGTAAACGACATGTTTGCGATCATTTTCAATCAGTTTAAGTATAATTATGCATGTATGACATAAAAACAGGTATCTGTTAATTTATATTCCGTAAGATTAGAAAATTTAAGTATAGATGTAGTATATGTCTTCTCTCTTTCTCCCCCTCTCTCTCTCCCCTTCTCCCCTCCTTAGATCAGCAAGCTGTTGAACTCCTCTCGTTAGGTTTACCAGTCCCACGTCCTGTAAAGCACAGACCAACCTTTACCGACGAGCAGATTGCAGCTATGGAGAAAGTGTTCACCCAGCGACAGTATCTCTCGCCAATGGAGCGCGAGAGCTTGGCAGAGGTTGTGAACCTCTCACCTCAGCAGGTGAGGGTCTGGTTTCAAAACCGAAGGCAAAAAGTGAAACAGTTTTTGAGTCAAAGACAGCTAAAGAACGGCCAGTCGTCTGTCTCACTAGAAAATGGAGAGAAAGATGGTAAGAGATGTATCAAAATGGATGTCTTATATGAAATGATTATTTTTTATTATGTGCAATTTTGCATGTGTAATGAATAAAACAAATATACATTATTAGAAGCTCAGTTTTGGCTCATTATTGATAATAAAAACATTACATCAACTCAAGAACACACAATTCAGTAATTCAGTACATATACATGAAGCCATATCAAGTTTGCTGCTTGCTTACACATTGAGGTGTCACTTTTGTAAGGATTGGCAATACTATTCTTACAAACTATTGCTCAATTGATTTTTTATTTTATTTGAACTTAGCACTTGGTGCATTACATATAGTCTTATGTCCATCAAAGGAAAGCCAGTTTTCATAATAGATGTACACATTAAGCAGGATTTCCCACAAAGCCTGAACTAAACACTAATTCTTGAGCTGAAAAGCACTGCACTACGGATAGGACGTATGGCTTTTGGAGAAACTTTATTAATTCATAAAAAATCCAATTTTGATTGGAATCAGCTCAAACTTCAAATACAACATACATGTAAGAACATGTATGTGTATAAGGAAATGTAATAAAAATTTGAAATTCTCTCCTAGTCAGTTTTGGTAAAATTTGACCCAAGACCATGTACTATAGTACAGGGACTTTGGCTCAATTTTTGAGCAACTTTAGAAATTCATAAAGAATCTAATTTTGAACTCTTAGCCTGTACAGTTTTCCAAATTTAGTGCATCAATTTAATGCTTAAAAGACTATGAAATAGAAATGTTTTTTTTCTTGGAACCAATGTCTAAAAATATGATGATTCATAATGCTTACATTGTTCATGTATTTTTAGATGATAAAGATGCCAATGACTCAGGGACTGCCTCACTCTCAGCTCAACAGCTAAGCACTAATATTGACCCCATACTCCAAATGCTATTACCAAAGACATCAGCTGAACCTGATGCAAGCAATGAAGAGAGCAGCATGGAGGAGCACGAAGGATCATTAAAATCAGAGCCAGCAGTGACCATGATCACTATACCAGCTCTGAAAGATGATCAGGTCACTACTGAGGCACCAAATGCTGCCAATAATCCTTCAACATCTTCTCAAATATCCCTAACTCCCTACATTGTGCCATTATCAACAACTGCTCTACCCACAATACAACTCTCTGGGGGCGGGGCGAACATCACCATACCAGCGATACAGCTATTGCAGAGTTTACTCACTGCCTCTTCATCTTTACCTCCTGCAAAGACAACCAAGTCGCCTCCTAAAGCCCCTCCAAATAGGGGTGGGCCCTTGAAGGCCCAGAGCCCAACAAGAATAGTGGAGATGAATGCAGAGATGGAGATAAAGGAGGAAGATGTGACGTTACCTTCGTCATCTTCTGATCCTAAGACTCCTGTAGCTAATGCATTAGGAGGTGACTTACCAACCAACAGTACTACTAGTGAAGAGGGCGAGGGGGACACTAGTAACAGCCAAGTACTGAATGCAAGCAACGAGATATTACAGCAGTTATTAGGACTCACTCCTGTGTCTGCTGGTGGTGATGGGCTCAAGTCCTCGTGGAACATTAATGTCTCTCCATCCTCACTTGCTGCCGCAGTCACTGGCTCTGCCTCGCCAGCGGCCCTGGGGTCGACCCCCAAGCGTAAGAGGCAGGTCTTCTCTGGTGTCCAGACAACCGAACTAGAGAAACACTTTGAGACTAGTTCGTACATTGACTCAAAGGAGAGGGAGAGACTGGCGGAGAAGATTGGGCTGCATCCCGATCAAGTTAAGGTTTGGTTTCAAAACAGGCGCACTAAACGAAGTCGACAGTCTTGGAGACAGAAAGATGCATCAGGTTCTACCCCAACTATGGAAGAGCAGTGAGACTGCAGAACTACATACTCTATCCCCCCCCCTCTGTCTCTTTCTCCTCTCTCTCTCCCACTCTCTCTTTCTCTCTCTCTCTCTCTCTCTTTCTCTCTCTCTCTTCTCCCTCTCCTTTCTTTTATATACATTTTATTATTGATTGCAGCTAGGGGCTTTGGTATAATAGAGCTCTATACAAGATAGCAAATACAAACTCATTATCATCATCATCATACAGTTGTGAAAAATTGTATTACTTTTCATTATTGACATACTCACTATACTGCCAATATTATCATCATTACACACTGTATTATAATATATACACACATATAGAAATTATATTTAATTCTCCTTTATCTCTTGTGTTATTTTTTTCACTTATCCTTCTTTTCTCTCATTTTTTGTTTGTATTAGTCAGACACAGCAGTTCATCAAGTGCACTCTTTTTAACATAAAACTATTTGACACACATACTAGTAGATTATCATTATTATTATTATTATTGTCCTGTTTGTTGATCTTCCCTTTTTCCAAGATTGTTTATTTTCCTTTAATAACGTTTTTGATTCACTTCTGAAGACACTGCACAGCTCCTCTTGCTTGTAAAACATTTTTAGCACCTTGTTAACACCTCAAAGTGATAACAAGTACTTCCTGTTACTTAATATTCATTTTTAAAATTACCCTGCTAATTTAATGCTTTTCATATTTTTCTTGTAATTTATTTTAGCACCTTGTTAACACCTCAAAGTGATAACAAGTACTTCCTGTTCATTAATATTCATTTAAAATTACCCTGCTAATTTAATTTAATGAGATTATTTTATAGCATTGGTTTAACATCAGTTCTAGAAATTTTGAGGCATTTTATTAAATACCATAATTTAGAAAATTAAAGATGTGAAATCTAAAATAATAATAATAACTGTTAAATACTATGTTAATAATAATAATTTTATTTTTAACTTGTTTTGCCTTGTTTTATAATAATAACAATAATAACAATAATTAAAATAATAATAATAATAGGTGAGCATTGGTTGCTCATAAAACAATGATTTGCAATGTTAATATTATTATTTATTGAAGAGTCATTTATTCAATTCACTGCCTGCAGTGGCTTCTGCCCTTTAGACTTTGACTTCATTTTCTTTTTCTTCATTGCTTGATTTTCCTGTGACTTCTCAGCATCCTAAAATCAATTAAACCAAAAATAATTTATTATTATTATTATTATTATTATTATTATTATTATTATTATTATTATTATTATTATTATTACTTTAAAGGAGCAAGTTGACGAAGCACTTGAACAGGTGCTGGTATCATGTGACACTGTGTCATATGATTGATCAGGTGACTCACTGACTTCAGCAAGATCAGCTAACTTGTCTCTATACTCATGCAAGAGATCAGAGTGAGGCTTAGTTTGACTAAGAACACGTGGATATGTGAACTGTCTCCTCTGTGGAGTCATACCTTGAGAGAGGGAGAGATATATGCTATATGATTTGTCTTCCATTATTATAATTAACCTGTTGGTATATCTTCTTTAAGATCTATGGACATAAATTGATCAACCACTTCCTTCAATTTGCTAACGTCGCTGTCTCTCTCTGTCATGCTCCTCTCAAAGTCCTGTCTGTTCCCTGCTAGCCTGTCCTGCCATTCTTGAGACATTTTTAAAGTGTTTTCATTAAAAGTGTGACTCATGCTGGACTGAGTCTGATTAGCAATGTCCATTACATTACCACATTGACTCTATAATGTGTACAAATTGAACATGATAAATAATAATAATAATAATAATAATAATAATAATAATAATAATAATAATAATACAATATACTGATAATAAATAACTAACAGTGATGGTAGCTGTTGACACGTTTGTCTGCTCCTCAAGTAAATTGACCAAATCATCTCTTTGAGATCTCAGTGATTCATTAAAATCAGTAGAAATCTAAAGAAAAGAATAATTATTTATCTAATCTCCTATTGTGTTCTGTCTTACCTGTTTCAAGGACTTTAGTCCAGTGTCAATTCCTGACTGGGTTTTATCTAACAATTCTTTCTCTTTTGCTTGGCAAGATTTACTCTATATAATGAATGAGTTTAAGTTGATTCAGACGAATATTTTTCAAGTTATGAGCATTTTTTAAATGAGACATTTTAGCCCATGATTTTTTTCAAAAAAAAAGGCTCCAAAATCACCCCAAATTTTTATTACATTTTCTGATACATATTGATGTCCTTATGCTGTGTAGCAAGTTTGAGCTCATTCCGACTTCAACTTTTCAAGTTATGGCCAATTTATGAAAATGCCAAAATTCTAAAAAATACCCTGTACTATAGCCCATGGTTTTTTTCCAAAAATGGCTCCGAAATCACTCCAAATTTTTATTACATTTTCTGATACATATTGATGTCCTTATGCTCTGTAGCAAGTTTGAGCTGATTCCGACTTCAATTTTTCAAGTTATTAACAAAATGTCAAATTTTTGAAAATTACCCAAGGCTATAGCCCATGGTTTTTTCAAAAATTGGCTCCGAAATCACTCCAAATTTTTATTACATTTTCTGATACATATTGATGTCCTTATGCTGTGTAGCAAGTTTGAGCTGATTCCAATTTCAATTTTTCAAGTTATGGCCATTTTAACAAAATGTCAAATTTTTGAAAATTACCCAAGGCTATAGCCCATGGTTTTTTCCAAAAAATGGCTCCGAAATCACTCCAAATTTTTATTACATTTTCTGATACATATTGATGTCCTTATGCTGCGTAGCAAGTTTGAGCTCATTCCGACTTCAACTTTTCAAGTTATGGCCAATTTATGAAAATGACAAAATTCTGAAAAATACCCAAGGCTTGGTTTTTCCAAAAAATGGCTCCAAAATCACCCCAATTTTTTATTACATTTTCTGATACATATTGATGTCCTTATGCTGTGTAGCAAGTTTGAGCTGATTCCGACTTCAACTTTTCAAGTTACAGCCATTTTAAGATAATGCCAATACCCAATTACCGTATTTCCTCGTGGAAACGCCTACTCCCTATAAACGCCCATGCCTGTATAAACGCCTAGAGACAGCACATAACTTTGACAATAAACGCCCATGCTTGTTTAGACGCCCATTCTTGATTAAAAGCCTATACCACACCCACCTACCCCATCCACGCGCGTGGTACATGTACCTTACGTAGTTTAGTAGTTTACATTCTACAATGGCAGCTGCAGCTGAGAAGGCTAAAGAAACTCAGAAGTTTTGATGTCAGTTTTAAACTACGCGTTGTGTCTATTGAAACATGTTGGTAAGGATTATTTTTTGGTTATAAACGCCCACCTCGTATAAACGCCTACTTCATTTAAACGCCTAGCAAACAGGTCTCTATAAGAAATAAACGCCTAGGCGTTTCCACGAGGAAATACGGTAGGCTATAGCTCATATATATTATAGAGCAACTACTTAAAAACCACTTTTGATTAATATATATTTTTACAAAACAGGTAGCTTGATATATACATGAGAGATGTATACCTCAGCTAATAATTGATCCAACTGTTGAACAGCATTGCTAGTAACATCAGTAGAAGCAGCTTTAAATTGACACACATTACTCCTAATCTCATTGACTGATCTACATGTATACGTATAATAAAATATAAATACATCACAATGCAGATTTGCAACCATAAAACAATAGGAGAGACACATTTATAGTGTTATAGCTTCATTTAATATAGATGTAACATACACATCATGTACATGTACATGTACATGTGAATGGATGATGTACATAAATTTTTTTTGGCAAAACATGACATTTTAAAAAGAGATCCAGCAAATTTTTATACACTACTCCAAATTGTCGATAACTATACAGCAGTTCTTATATGGATGTACTTACTGATGCAATGAGGAACTAATCTCTTGGTGCTCAACTTTACATTCCTTCAAACCTTCCTTCAGCTATAAGTACAGTATCATTAGTACAGTATGATTAAAACTATATACTGCCAGTGTATGGTATAGGGTTATTACTTCATTATTGTGAGTCTGCTGTTGAGTGGTCATTGATTGTTTAGCTGTTGATATCCACCGACTGACAGTCTTACTCAATTCATCAAACATTTGCTATAAGAAAAATAAGAGAGAGAAAGAGAGAGAGGGAGAGAGAGAGAGGGAATTATGAATTACACTAGATGTACATTTATATGTAGTACAAATGCAGCTAGCTAGTGTACAAAGTCCCTGTAGTAGCTGCCATGCAAATTGTTACACCCAGAAATAAATTTTGAAAGACTAATTTAAAATATAGGGAGATTTCACTAAGAAATTGGCAACCAAGAGCCTCCTAAACTCCCTCTAGATCCAACAGTGGGTCCATTCATGCTCTTACTTGCTGGAGTAAGTCTTGCTCAGACAGTGTACTGTCCATTTTCAAGCTGATACTATCAAGTTTATTAGACTATATGGTACAGAGAGAGGAGGGGGAGGGGGGGGTAGAGATAATTATAAATTAGATAAAGCTGCAGTTTACTTGTTCTTCTTTATTCTTTTCAATTGCAGACTCCATTTCTCTTAACTTCTCCGACTGACTGGATTCAAACTGACACACAGTATCATTATAATCCAACACCTAAAACCATCCAAATAATAAACATTAATACTCTAAAGCTAGCTGATAGTACAAATACATGTATATTTTAGAAAAACAACCTTTTGCTTGACTGTGTCCAGTACTGACTGTTGCTGTGTAGCATGTATTGAAATAGCTTCATTTAGTTGAGAGATCAGTGGCATCAGATCAGTGACCAGCAACACATTGCAGGCTTTATTGAATGACTTCTATACACACACACACATAAAATATAGACAATTAATTTACTGCAAGTTGTACAAAAATATTAAGTCATAGTAGATTGTGGGTATTAATAATTGTGTGATTATTATTAACAATCATGTGACATATACATGTATTAAGTACATGTACCTAAAGATTATACATGTATGTGTACATGCACATGCAATTTCTCTCTCTCTCTCTCTTACCTCAAAATGGCTAGTGTCCATCTCCCCCACTCTCTGAGTATTAGTGGCCAGTCTTTCCTGTTAAGATACACTAGCTCCCTTAATAAACGCACAGTATTATACAATACCTTTAGGACAGTGGTGTGGTGTTGAGAGGAGGTGCCCACTGCTGATTGAATGGTCCCTATCAGTTCCTGTATGTGCCTCACATGCTGACCATGTGATACACTCCACCCTCCTATGAGTGAGATCAAGAGTAGATAATAATTAGAAGAGAGTGTCCTACTGTGCTCTATACCCCCTGCTTCATCACGGCGTAGAATTGAAGAGTCACATTCAGGACATTTCCGTATTTTCATTGAGTTTGAGTAGTTATTGCTAGTTATTTTTGAATAACTACTGAAAATAACCTGAATGTGACTCTTCAATTCTATGCGGTGATGAAGCAGACCCTATAGCCAGTAGGACACTCTCCTCTAATTATTATCTACTCTTGGTAAGATTAATGTACATACATGCGTATGCAACATACATGTAAATAAATTGTACATGCGTACATGTACATGTACATATGCATACATGTACATAAAAAATTTGTGGGACAAAGTTTCTATAAAGCTAAAATATCCCAATCTACAGTATAACTCATATGCATATTATTATTTTTGTTATTATTATTATTATTATTATTTTTGTTATTATTATTATTATTATTATTATTATTATCATTATTACTGATGCTCTCCATCAGTGATCCAGTAAACTCCAGTTGGTGTGTCTTCAGTGTGTGAAGATTATCCCTCAGGGCAGACGTCTCCTTCCCAAAACTCTAAAAAACAACAACAACAACAATAAAATAATTATTTATACTATAATTACTCCATAAAAAAAACATGCATGTATAATGTACCATGATAAATTAAGATTAATGTTGCAAGCATGTTTTATGCATGTACAGTACATGTATTCATTAATAATAACACGCATTCCTCATGAACATATGGGCTATTTTTATGCATAAAACTTTCATGCATAAAAATACCCATGTTTATGAGGAATGTATGTTTTGAAATTTGAACATTAATTTTTATGAATTTTTTGGAAAAAATGCATACATATATGTATGTATACGCATGACTAGAACATGTTATGCATGTTTCATGTACATATACATGCTTATATGCAGGTAGGTATTTTTTTGATTTTGAACTCAAGATGTACATATTTGGACTTACTTCATTAAATTGTGCAGCAGTTTGCTTGTTAGTGGTTTCAATGGTTGACTTCCTGTCCAGTTTACTGTGGAGTCCCTCTACATCATCAACAGCATTCTCAATGGTGCTCATCAACTACAGGCAATATTAACAGATCTGTATACAACCTGTTAGACCCGTTACTCCTACCTGTTTAGCTTGACCATGCAGCACTTCTTCAGTCTTGATGTGTTCTGTCATTAAGTAGCTTGTTTCATCTTTCTCTCTCTTCACCTGGGACAGGTTCTATACAGGCACAGTAAATAGTTTTTTTGTAAATTATTGATTTTTTGCTTATTTTTTTACTTTTTTAGTTTCCACCAGTGAGAATTGTGTGTGTTCCAGTTCTTGACATCTCACAGCCAGTTCAGCCTCTTTCTCGTGAAGCTCTTCTTTAATGTCCCCAAACATAGTCTCTAACTACATGTACATGTACATGTAATAAGGAGAGAGAGGGGGGGGGGGAGAAGAAATATCTATAAGGATAATAAATCAATTCTTACCTTTTTAATTTCTTCTTGACAGCTCCTAATCTTCTCCTCTAACTCAATAATGAATTCTCCTTGAGTCTTGATCTTTGTCTCCATACCACTAGACAAACCAATCAATTAGATCCACACAGTGTATAATTAACCCTCTCCTCTCCCCCTTCTCTCTGCCTTACAGGTAGTTTTCGGGTGAGAGGAAGATTCCATTCTTCTCTCGAGCTGCCAGTAAATCTTTTTTCAGTTTGTCAATCTCACCCGTGTACTCCTGCAATGACATGAATTAAATAATATTTACAATCATTAAATAAAAATTACTCTAATTAGTGCTCTCTTGGTCAGTTTCTGATTAATCTCAGGCCTGTTGGTGATGTTCTTTGCCCTGTGTGCATAGTCCAGTGTGCTGATGGTCTCCTCCAGGCAGAACAATGCTGGAGAGATTGTGGCTATTATTGATGTCCTTGTACGCCCTCCTAGTGAGTCCTGCAATATTCTAGTCAGCTTGCTCTCCCTACAAATAACAGCGTGCATGTCCTTTAAGTAGTTTTAAATGTAATATTGTGTGATTTGTGTTGCTTCTAGTCCCGTCAAAATTAGCTTGTTAAAGTTGCTTTAAAATCTAGCTAAATACCCTGTACTATATAGTACAAGGTATTTTGGCCAAATTTCATCAAAAATGACTAGGAGAGAATTCTCCATTTTCATTACATTTTCTGATGCATATATATAAATGTACACCATACATGCTCTTATTGTACATAGACTGATTGATCTACAGATTATTAAACTATTATACTTATATTCAATATAGCTCCTAGAGTGTAATACCTGTAAGGAATATGAGGGCATTTCTCTACCAGTGCAGTGATGCAGCGTCCTAGTGTTAGCAGACTCTGATTGATGCTTCCTGCCTCTTTAGCTCTTTTATCTAAAGCACCAGATCTGCCAATGTTCTCTGAGCCAGCCAAATCAACCTAAAAGAATAAAAAGAAACACACATGAACTTGATGTACATATTGATAACATGTACATGTACTTATAATAAAACAATAAAATGAAACTAATTAGCTGCTTATGATAACAAGCAATTCAACCTTGACAGATAACAAATTGACACACTCACACCTTTAAATGATACATTTGCACTGCAGACACTTTCTTGGTAAGGTTGACAATGAACAAGAACAACTGAGTCATTATGGCTGGCATAGCTTGCAGCTCATGGCCTACTTTTGACAATCTGTAATGAAGCTGTTCTTGTGTGTGGTTCATCAAATTCCATGTACTAATGTCTTAATAGTGTTAGAACACCAAAATAAACTATTAAATATATGCAACACATAAGTACAGCTTCATTATGGATTGTCCAGAGGCTATGAGCTGCAAGCTATGCCAGCCATAATGAAATTTACTTTAATATCTATGTTCGTGAATATTAAATCCATTAAATTTACAAAATCTAAAATTTGGGAAATATAATTCCCTTGAAAAATAAGACCCAAAGGGTAATTACACTACCATCGCTTCTATAGAATCTATTCACTTCTACTGGCAGTAATATTAATTAGCTGCATGTGTACAGGCTGGATGAACTGTAGCATATAGATTAATGTATGCATGCTTCCATCACGTGTACATATTCAAACAATGGACCATTGTCATCAGTAGCCAGTACCTACATAAAGAGGTACATACTGACTGGAATAGTTATTCATTTTATCATATACTAAAGGTCATATAAGAGACTATACTAGATATCAGCTACTGAATGATGAATACCTTCCAGTGTTTGGTCCTTGTTGCTGCTATTGGATTCATGATTGCAGCAACTGCCAGGGCAGATGAAGTTTGCTTCACTGATTTAGATTGCAAAACTGGAGCTAATATAACTGAAGTAAGATCAGTGATACATCATACTACACCATCATAATAATAATAATTATTATTATGATTAGTAGACTATAGCATAAAGGATCATTACAGCCTAACATACAGCTGTGTGTATAATACCAAGAGTAGATAATAATTAGAGGAGAGTGTCCTACAGTGCACTATGACCCCTGCTTCATCACCACGTAGAAATGGAAAGTCAGACTCCAGTTATTTCCGTATTTTTTGAGCAGTTACTCGAAAATAACTAGCAACAACTACTCAAATAAAATACTGAAATAACCAGAATTTGACTTTCTACGCAGTGATGAAGCAGACTATACAGCCAGTAGGACACTCTCCTCTAATTATTATCTACCCGTGACAATACAGTGGGAATCTTTTTGGAGTTTTTCATAATTCCCCAAGCAAAGCTTGTAGTCCACTAGCTATACCCATACAGTAATGATTATTATGAATCTTATTATAGGCCGAAGACTGCTGCAGTCTTGATGGAGTCAAGTCTTATGAGCATCTTGATCCAGATCACGGTCCTGATGTGCACTGCCACAATTGCAAGTAGCTGAGGGAAAGAAGCTCTGAGAAGGAAAGACTCTGTACTTTCAATAAATAAATAAATAAATAAATTTTGCTAACAATAAATAAATAATTATATAAAATAATCTTAACTATTTCAGAATAACTGATAATTAATTTATTATACATAAAAACAAAACTTTTTTGCTAATTTTGATGGATAAAGTCAATGATCTATGCGGTAGCCATTTTCTAATGAATTATTTTCATTGATGTTGGTATAGTTGCAATTAAATAAAAATGGCAACGACAGTGACTGCATGCTTCTAAATATCTTTCATACCGTAGCGGATCATAGATGGAATAAAATTAAAACGGGGAAGTTTCCAATCCCGGTCTGTGTATTATATCCATGTATATATCAAACATCGCACATGGGTGAAATTAATTATAGAAACGACCTGGGGGCTACGCCTCCGGGTCATTAAAAATTGAAGTCAGAATCAGCTCAAACTTGCTACCTAGTATAAGGACATCAATATGTATCAGGAAATGTATTATATAAAAACATCAATCGGTTGCTATTATGGAGCTATTTTGATTTTCCATACTTTCATGGTTTCAAATGATCATTGCAGTTTACTTGTATAGTTAAAGGCCACTGCATATTTCAGGAAAGAGCTTATAGACTAGTTAATTCCCCCCTCTCTCTCTCCTTACCAAGTTAAGTTTCCCAGTTTTCAATAGTTCTTCTCCATCAAGTGAGTTTTCCTTGATATGTACTGTAACTGAGAAGACAGTATGCGATCGAGATGAGGAGGCATTCATGAGTGTAGCTGCAGTCTGTCTCCTCTTGCTCCCTCTCTCAAGAATAGCGTACACTTCATTTTTAGAATGAACTGTAATCTCTTCTAAGCCTTGAACTAGGACTCCACCCTATAAGAGGAGAGAGAGAGAGAGAGAGAGAGAGAGAGGAGAGAGAGAGAGGTGATATATTATACATGTACATAAAAAAAAAACAGAGACAAGTTCAATGATTGACAAAAGACAAACAGTGAAGCTAAATTGAGGAACAAGAAAGAGAAACACAAGGGGAGTGGAGGATACAGCAACACTTAATGATAGAAACAGCACAAGTGCCAGCTTAAGTTTTTTAATTGCATTGACCACACGTGAGCCATTAAAAATGAGCATAAATAGTGTGGCTTATTATTCTATAAATTAATGGTATTTAAATTACTCCAAAATTACCCAGGCTGCAGAATTAACAATCACTAGCCTGATGAAGACTTACTTTACGTGCTGAGTCATCAAATATGCGTAATTTAACTTGCTCATTCCCGTTACTCAGTAAATCAAACAATTCTTCATTATATAACTCGAGAAATGATATGCGGACAGAGAACTCTGACTCCTAAGAAAAAGAGAAAGAAATTATGACTTTAAAAGATTTTAAATTATTTATTACTTGACATTCTAACTGATCGAACAGCTGGTGCAGGGACCTTGGGATGATTCCAGCTAAAGGATCCTATCAAAAATTAATTATAAATAAATTCATTTTATCATAATACATTAATCATAAATAAAAGATCCTTCAATGTACATGTACACTATACGTACATGTACATGTATCAGTATATCATATGTGTATGTACATGTACACGAGTATACATGTACCTCTTCCCAAGATAAAGCTCCTTGAGGTGACCTCTCTCCCTCCATTGTATATGTCTTACCAGTCCCAGTCTGACCATAACTATGGAAAACCATATTACTAATTTAATGACCACACCCACTAATTAACTAAAACCACGCCCACTAAAACTCACGCAAACACGGTACAGTTGTATCCAGTGAGCACTTCGGCTATTATCGGCTCAACGACTCCATGATACACCTCAATTTGAGTGGATTCTGGCCCGTAGACTCTGTCAAAACTAAATGTCTTTGTGATGGCTTTCTCGTGTAACTCCTGATGAACGACAATCTCTCCTTTCCTTGTATTAGCATCTATCACTTGTGGGGAGCCTGACTTTTTTTCAGAGTTGTTTCTTGGCCTGTCGGTTCAATATTAAAATAATTAAAAATAATGATAATTGCATCAAATTAATAATTATGATAATTATTTCCTCACCTACACCTGACCACGACTTGTATGTTTTTCTCTTGAGGTGGAAGAGTCTTTCTAGGTTTACCACCAGAGCGCTCCATCCTTTAAAGGGGATCAGTGACGATTCGACTCCTTTTCTTTCTTCGAAAAAAGCGCCAAATTTAACAAAATTTTGATCGAATGAAATTGCGCATGCCCAGAACCCCGACATTTTAAAAAAATGGCCGACGTTCCTTCCGGATTTATCTGCGCATGCGCAATAAGGGGGCGTTTGTTGGAGGTGTGGCTAGGTCCATCAGATGATCAGATTCAGGAGTTAGTCCCTGTAATCAGGTCACCTAGTCTCTTTGCTGTAGTTCTCTCGTCCTTTCAAGTCTCCAAAGGAACACCGGGTCTCTTACTCTTTTGTTCGCTCCTTCTTTGCGTGTACAAGCGCTTCTCTCATTCTCCCTTTGCTCAACCGAGCAGAAGTGAAAGTATCTCTCCACATAGTTAGATAAAGAGAGGGAGGTATCAAGGACAACTGGGGTCTAGTTTAAAATGGCTGCCCCACCTCACTCAGTCTGGTCATGGAACATTGAGGAGGTTGGTAGATGGCTTTGCTCAATAAACATGAGCCATCTTGTTCACAAGTTTGAAGTTGCTTCAGTCAACGGCGAAGTCCTCTGTAGAATGGACGAAGGCTATGTCCCCGCTCTACTCAAATTAAACCCAGCCGAGAAAACCATGTTAATGGGAGCCATTAAAAGCGTTAAGGACTCTTACAGGAACAACTACCACATGAGAGGAGGGCTCCCTCCTGAAGCTCCCCCTCACAACAGACCGAGGACTCACTCCGACGAAAAAAAGAAAAAGAAGGCGAGCAATGCCACTCCCACTGGCGTCGGTCTTGCAACTGGTCCTACCCGTACCTCTATAGACGACAGTTCTGATATTAACGACTTTACCCCGGAGTATAAGATTGCCCCTGCCCCTGAGTTACTAGACGACTACTGTCGCCACAGTGGTTGGATTCGTAAAAGAGGAGGAGGATACAAAAGCTGTGAGTTGTGTGCTTGTCTCTGACAGTGTGTTTGCATTTGGTTTCGTTTTGCGATGTAGCATACATGTACATTGTAAATCTTTTAGTTCTCTCTCTCTCTCTCTCTCTCTCTCTCACTCACTCTTTCTCTCTCTCTCTCTCTCTCTCTCTCTCTCTCTCTCTCTCTCTCTCTCTCTCTCTCTCTCTCTCTCTCTCTCTCTCTCTCTCTCTCCTTTTTCCCTTTGATGGAGCTTGAAATATTTCATATATACAAATCTACTCTACTCTTGATATAATGCACCTGCCTGTCTTTGTCTCACTACCATTTCACACATTAACACCCTCTAGCCTATTAACGACACACATGTACACGTATTCCTATTCTAAAGGGGAAGAGTTGGGGGGGGGGTACGTGACTGGTTATTTGTAATTCAAGTCTGTTTCCATTCCTCTCTTCATGTGAATAAACATCAGCTCCTGTTTATCTACACTGCCACTCAATGGCTAAGTTATCATAGTTGTATATCCCGACAGGTTGCCCTCTCAAATACACACCATCTGCTACCCAACTCACTCCATCCCTCCCTCCTCTTTATAGTGCCCCTAGTACTACATGTCTACATGCACTGTAGTGATTGTGTATATACTATAGTTTTGGTTTAATGAATACAATCCTATCATTACAAAATAATGAGTTAGTACACTTTACCCTTTGTGAAAACATATACATGTAACTTGTATGTCCATTCTTCAATTTATTTATAGATCTTTCATGTACATGTGAGATATGACCCTCTCCTTTCTCTCTTCCCCCCTCTCTCTCCCTCCCTCTCGTTCCTTCTCTATCTTAATTGTGTATGCTTGCGAGTGTTTTTAGTCCCCTGTGTGTGTGTTTATGCTGTTTATGTATGTGTGTATTTGTTTGACTTTGCTTCTTGCTATGCGTGTATATGTTTGTGTAATGATGCTCCTATTTCTCTTGTGTTTCTCTGCAGGGAAGCGAAGATATCTTATCCTAAGACAAGGCTATGCTTATTATTACGAAAATGAAATGTCTGCCAAGCCCAAGGGGAGTATTTACCTCTATAACTGCAGGTATGTTATCTTCACCGCTGCAGCTTCCTCTTTTCTTCTTTCCTGTTCTCCTTTTTTATACTTTCACTATTCTGTCTTGGCACTCCTTCCCCTTCCTTTTCTGTCTCTTTATTTTGACATACTCTTTTCCTCTCCCCTCTCTCTCTCTCTCTCTCTCTCTCTCTCTCTCCTTATAGTGTAGCACCCTGTACTGATGAGGACAGGATTAAACAGTTCAAGTGGGTTTTCAAAGTCAAACCAGATGATCCCAAGCAGAGAACCTTCTATGTTACCACAGCTGCTAGACATGAAATGGAGGCAAGTCCCATCATTCTCATGTTATGTACATGGACAAACAAGCTTGTTTCATTTCACACATTGTGTCTTCACCCATTATAGCTATAGCCTAACCTTAGTAGGAGCTTCAGTCAGTCAGTAGTAACTATAACCATTTTGTCTCTTTTGTAATAGAATAATTGCTGGTATAGTAAAATTTATAATAATGCCAATAATACTCATTATTCTGTACCAAGGATTACTGTAGATCTGTTTCTTATTCAAATAGATTGTTCTTGTACATAGACTGTGTGTAGCTGTTGGTGTATAAACTGTTGCAGATGACTTTTGTTTTTCTGTCTGTATAACTACACATTGTACATGTAATGGAAGCGTGTGTATGTTTTTCAAGCATTTGAACATACCACTACACGTATACACACACAGAGCAGTATATAACATACACTGTAGCCTTAGATATACAATACAGTCACTGTTAGATACACATACCTGCTATGAGTTATTGTTTTGCATGTGTTTGTATGTACACATGTACATGTATATCTTGTGTTGCGTTTGTCAAATTGAAAACTGAAATTGTCAGTTGGTAGTACTAAACTATTAGTGGCTGGGTAGTTTGAGTCCAGTGGCAACTCACTCTTCCTCTAGTGCTATCAAAACTAACAGTGAGATGTACAGACAGTGACTCACTCCATGACACTTGTTAGCTGTCTGTACAAACAATGGAAGCAATCATAATTGGCTTTATTGACAGGGGGGTTATGGCAGCTTACTTTAACTAACTGTCTTACTAACTTTATTGTCTCCTTTCCTTCTCTCTCTCTGTGTCCCCCTCCCTTTTTCTTCCTCCCTTTCTCTCTCTCACTCTTTCTCTGTCTTATTTTAACCTCTACTGTTTCTTCAAGTTAATGATACATTGCCTTAAAATAAACTTGCTTTTGGACTTGTTGCAATGAAAAATAGACAAACATTATTACTATGAGTTACTGTGTGTAGACGGTCAGTCAGTCTTGCATATAAGGGACTGTTACATGGAGCATGTACATGTATAGGGTGATTGTTGTTGTGAGTATAGTATCAATTGTTTTCTACTTTTTAGAAATGGATTTCATCACTTAATGAAGAAATAGATAGATTTAAAATGAAGTATGGGTCTCTCTCTATCTCTCTTCTTCCCTCCCTCACTCTCTCTCTCTCTCCTTTCTCTCTCTCTCTTCACATGTTCAATGCTACCCTCTCCCTCTCTAGGATCGGTGAAGATGATGAAGACTATGAGCGTATATATGATCCAGTGTATGAGGAAGATGAGGAGCAAGATGACGATGAGAATGATCCAGTGTATGAAGGAGTTGCTGAGGACGAGGAGCCTCCTTACACGTGAGCACTACATGTACATGTACATGTACCCATCACCCAATGAATGTGTATAATGCCTTTACTTGCAATACCTTAGCTATGCATGTACATGTAACTGGTTATTTTTGGAAGGGGCAATTTTGGCAAATTTGACATTTTATGCCCAAATAAAGCCTGCCATTTTGACCTATTATGCATTAACTAAATGTCACATGGTCACAAATTGGCCAAATTAAAACATGCATGTCATTTTATTATTGACTCGTAATAAGATATACAAGCGTTTGTTTTTGTTGCAATGGACAGCTAGACCCGTAATTAACTTATTTATTTGCATGTGTATAATAATAAAATACTTAAATTAATCTAATAATAATAATAATGTTAATCATCATTATCATCATCATCATTATTATTTAATTTCTAGTCGTATTCGTGACACAAGCTCCGTCTCCATCCCTTCCCCTCGGGTTCCTGATCATCGTCACTCGCCCACGCATCGTTCCGCGACTCTAACCTGGCAAATGACAGACTCTGCTAAACCACGCCCGGGTAATGCCCACGCCCCCATGGTCCCTCCTCGTTCCGTTCGCTCACTACTGGACACTGGGACCTTGAGACCAGAGCCTCCTTCCGCAGTATCTCCGTCACAACTCATAGAGGCAGAGAACCCGTACCTCAAGATTGTGGGGAACTCCGAGTATGTAGTGATACATAATGAGTCTCTCGCTAAATGTATATGTACATGTACATGTCATAGCTTTTTATTTTAGCAGTGATTTTGTTATGAAACCCAAAGCATCATTATTTTGATGATAGATTATTAATAATGTGCAATGGATGGTTGTGTAATTAATTGTGTCTCTCTTCCCCCCTCTCTCTCTCTCCCCATTAGGCTCATAGCTCCACCCACTAATCCCATGGTTGCTGCCTCTCCTCCATCAGTTCCTCCTCCTTCAACGTACAACCTTCCTTCTCCGCCACACATGAGTAGCCCCAGTGAAATGAGCCCATCAGAAGACTTTAATGTACATACACATTTTATTTATGTCTTTTTTATTATTAATTTCTCGTTTACTGTAGCGTCAAGCCGAGATAGAAGAGGAAGATCCTTATTACATTCGCTTACAAACGATAGAAGAAGTCTTACCTCAGTACTGCATATTTGGTAACATACCCCGTGAAGAGGCAGAGAGGTAAGGAATGCACTCCATTGGCTGCAGTGACAAATGTATTCTGTATAGCAATGTACATGTACATGTATGGTAAGATTTCTGTGGATCAATATTGCCATTAATTTTGTACTTAGGGACATTATAACAATAATTTTAGGAATTTTGATGACCTTTTTAAGTTCATTTTTGCTATATAAAATGAACATGAACTCTAAACTATAGTAATGATGTTAGTTTATAGTGTGTGTGTGTGTGTGTGTGTGTGTGTGTGTGTGTGTGTGTGTGTGTGTGTGTGTGTGTGTGTGTGCATGTTTTGAATGTCTGCAGCTGTTTATGATTGTAGTAGATGAGAAATTAATTTTGTTTTGTTTTCATTTTTATTTTATAAATACAAATCAGTAGCAACAATAACAAATACTAATAATAATACATTGTAGTTAATAATAATTAATAATGTAACTCCGCCCTCTAGTGGTTTATTAAGGACCCGTCGACCTGGTACTTACCTTTTAAGAGATGGGACTCATAAGAACGCTAAATATGTAAGTGTGTGGTGGGCACTAAATAGAATAATCGTGACACTGTGTATGATGCAGGTATTATCAGTATTGACTGACAATGAGCTCATAAAACATTACAAGCTATACCAGAAGGAAGATGTAAGATTTTATCAGATTATGTATTTTATAATTTTTAAATACTTTCTCTTTTTCTTTTTTTCTTTTACAGCAAACTTTTTGTCTAACAGAAGGAAAACTATTCCCATCCCTTCCTCAGCTAATAGAATATTACAAACAAGTTGAGTTACCAAAGACTCCAAACGTTAGGCTCAGCGAACCTTACCATCCCTTGGATCATTAATAACTTTTAATAACTGACTCCTCCTCCATTTGATATTATTTTTTAATATCAGTTTTACACGACTCATATTTGCATAATAGTTTATGTCCTTTATTATTATTATTATTATTATTATTATTATTATTATTATTATTGTTATTATTATTAATATTTCTCGATTTTATTTTGGCTGTAGTTATTATTAATTTTTTTTATGAGGTGTCCTCTTATTTTTTGTGGTCATATAAAATAATTTTCATTAAATTTGACGTCACGTATTGGATGGTTAATTAATGGTTATTAAGTAGATTCTTCATTAAAAATCCATTCTTTGTAATGAGGTTTAGTGGGGGCTACTGCAGGCTCAGTGGTGCAGAATTTCTTCGCTTTTCTTGCTCTTTCTTTCTCTCTGAGTCTCCATGACATCAATGCCTCGTTTCATTTGTTTCTTGGTTCTACTTTTGAGTGAGAAGGCGTTCTTTTCTGCTGCCAGAAGTATCACTCAGGAGGAGCTTATCACCAACGCTTGTGCCATTGACAGAAACACTACCATCTATAACAACTTCAGGGCTGACGTTATAGATCGATACAATTTAACTTTATTGCCAAAAGAAAGAAGTAAGTACTGCAGCACTGCAGAATGTATATATATGTACCTCATTCTCTTTCCTTCTCCCTCTCCCTCCCATTTGTAGATGTAAACTATTTTCCTAATGCAGCAGTGGATACACAGCTAGTTATACCATGCTTTAGTTGCCAGGTTTTACCATGGAGTAATGAATCATACATTGGTGAAGTGATGTGGTGTGTTAGTATATGGAATCCTACTGAACCCATTGAAGCTTGCTTCAATCGTACATGGAACTACAGCACTCCATTAGCAAAGGAGCTTGACATACTCAACAACCTTGAAATCATTGATTCCTGCAGGTATTACATTTTCTTTAACTACCAAGAGTGTATTAGGATACGCAGTATTAAGCTTTATTACGAAGAAGCTATTTTTTTCTCAATACGTGGCGACAACCACTTCATTTCCAACGTTGATGTCAATAGTGAGTTTGTGATAATAAGCATTTCTTATTATTTTAATGCATCATTGTACAGATGAACCAAACGAACCATCACATCATATTCAGGATTTCCCATCATCACCAATGTATGTTGAAGCAGGCACTGAACTCTTGCTGGACTGTGTTTTTTCATCTACTGCTCATTTTAATCTCTACATTGGCTGGTCACTATCAAATAGGGACCTTTTCCTAATAGCTGAAGATCCATTATGCTCTGTAAGCCTAGAGTACACTACTACACTGACTACATAAGTATAAGCTAATTCTGAGCATAATTACACACATACACATGCTAAGTGGTTAGAATTTGCAATTAACATGTGGTCAGTGCTGTTTAATCTTTCAACATCTTTTTGAAGTGGCTCACTGTATTTCCCCCTACCTCTCATTCCTACTCCTTTCTCTCTCACTTTCTCTACCTTTCTCTGTGTATAGAATGATTGCTATGTTGATAAAAGGGGTACAGCAATGGAGAACAAAGCAAAAAGGATCAGGGCATATCAAGCAAGAGATCAGCTGGCCTGTATATTTCTAAGCTATAAAGTACACACTTACCTTTACATAGAAGATGTGAAGCTCTCCGATGAAGGAAACTATACTTGTTACTATCACTACACACCTAGCTGGACATCTCAGAAAGGCTTTAAAACTGTTAACATTATACCAGGTAAGAATTATGTTAACTGAAACATACAAGGAGATGTCTTTATAATTATTGGTACTTCATGTTACATAATTATGGCTTAAAAGACTATTCTCATTCCTACTATGAACAGTCTACAGTACTGTACATATCATGGAAAAGACAATCAAGAGAGTGTGAGAACTAAACATGTCCATATGTCAACATCTCCTCAAAACGGGGAGGGCCTCTAAAGCCTCTGGTTTCATAGTGTGGTTGGAGAGTGGTTAGAGGAGTGGTGAGGACTGTATTTATGATGTAATAGGGGGTTTGTGCTAAGGTCAGGCAGGGCATGTGAAGTAACACCAGCTCTTTGTCAAGTGTTATTACAAGGTGGCCTTCTAAGAGTCTTCTTTCTTTCCCTCCTTTTTCTTTTTCTCCATTTCCTTCTCTCTCTTTCTCCCTCTCTCTCTCTTGTTTCTCTATAGTTCTACCAGTCATTAGTCCAATATGGCTGTCAGTCCCTGATCCTACATTAAACATACCTTCCTTTATCTCTTCTACCATTAATGACACTATCAGTTTATCCTGTACAGTACGAGTGGGGCTAGGAGCCAGTGTGTACTGGATTGATCCTAATAATACAGTCATTGATGAATATGATAGTAGCACTATGGAGTCTTCTGAGTTCTCAGTGTATGTAGAATCAAGGAATGAGACTACTGATGATCAGTATCAGATCATAGCTCATCGTACATTGATCATTAGTGATTTCATTGATTCACTTGATGATGTTGTTGGAGTTTATAAATGCGTTGTTAGTGATCCTGGCTATCAAGAGAAGAGTGTCTATGAAGAGTATTCAGTCATCCTGACTAATATCGTTTCATCAACTGGAGTCCCCTCAGCTTCTGCTTCTTCTTTACAGACACTATCTTCATCTCTTATCATGACTTCTCCCTCACCAGTCTCTTCTCCTCTTCCAACTTCCAATCCACTCATTAATGATAACCACATTATAATCCTTACTCTCTCCAGTGTCTTCATTACCATAGTCCTGATTGTCTTTTCACTGGTCATAGCTACTTTCATGTACTGCAGACGCAAATCAATGTCAACAACATATACTCCTTCCCTAAGAAAAGCACCTGCTCCTCCTGTTACTAAGAATGGAGTCATTGGAGGAGGAACAGCTAGTGCTGGATCGGTCCAGGTCCTTGCTAAAGGACTAATGGCTCCAACTAGCTTCATGTTCTTTCCAAAATTTGACATGTCAGAGAGAGAAGTCTCTAGACAGCATCTGATGTTCATTGATAAACTGGGTAAGAGAGAGAGGAGGAAGGAAAAGTCTAAGAGATGACTGCATGGTGTGGAGTATTAAAAGAATACAATGTATATGTGTGCATGTACATATAGAAAGAAAGAGAGTATGTTGTGCCTATTAAAGAGAGATGTATGCTAAAGCTAAACCTCATGATCACTTGACTGTCCTCTATGTACTACTGGGTCAACCTTTGCTTGGGCTCTGTAATTCACTTTAATGGTTTGTGTTTAGGCTCTGGTCTGTTTGGTCAAGTCTGGAAGGCATATATCTTGGGAAGTGAATCAATTGTAGCAGTAAAAACTACCAAAGGTAAGTACTATAACTAGCAACTCCATCTACTTATGTAATGTGTTGTATATGATTGGTATGTGTGTGTGCATGCACAGGTAATTGAATAAGAAGCACTCATAATAAGTAATAATGATAATAACAACAGAAGGTTAAAAATAACAATAAGTACCAACAATAACATCATAATGGCTATGATAATTATGCATAGAGTATTACCTGTATAATTATAATGCTAAGATCATTTGATCCTATTATTCCATGTACATTCTCATTGGCTCTGTCACAGTAAGTACTGCCAACTGCTAACTGTATTTGTAGTAGTTAGTCTAAGGTTATTATCAGTTTCCTGTGATAATAGTAAACTTAGACACATTTTAAATCGAATAAAAAAACAATATTACCATAATAGTCTTAGACCTTGAACCCTGTCTGACAATGTGACATAGTTTATTTATTTATTAATACAATGTTTTTATCTTTTAAGATTATTTTTTGAGATAGAGCCTGGTAAGTTTTGCTACACTGTGTTATAATAAGTCATTTGACCACGTTATGTAGGCTTTTCCTAAGAAATGGAGTCTTTTATTTTTGATGTGAGAGGAAGTGACAGACCACAGACTGTATGTGGTGGTTCTTGTCTGCCATGCTTTATTTAATTTAGCTTCACCATAATTAATAGTTTGTAACATGATATCATTGCACTAACACTCTGTTGTATCCCATGCGTGTGTAGACTAGCTGGGTGACTCTCATACATATACTTACTACTATCTCTGCTTAGCTTAATGCAGTGTGACTCACTTTCTGATGTAATCTAGTGCTCTTATATCATAGTCTTTTGTGTATACCAGAGCTGAAAGTGAAACAGAAATATTCATTAGTTTTGTACTGTCTTTGGCCAAATTTTATCAAAATTGAAAATGAGAAAATTCTCCATTTTATAGTTTATTTGATGCATATACATGTTCTTATGTTGTGTTTCAAGTTTGAGCTGATTTCAATTAAATTTGGATTTTTTATGAATTTTTCAAGCTACTCACAAATCTGGCCAATGACCCTGTACTATTATAGTATAGGGCCTATACTATAATAGTACAGGGTCATTGGCCAAATTTGACCAAAAATGACAAGGAGAGATTTTTTTACATTTTCTAATGAATTCTTACATTTACAATTGTAGTACCTTCATTGCTTTAATCTTTCATTAATTTGTTTGTCGTACAGATCAATGCTCATTGAGAGATGAAGAGAACTTAAAGGAAGAGCTTCAGATAATGAAAAAGATACAACCACATGCCAATGTCATCAACCTACTCGGATTCTGTACATGTATGTCAATCAAACATACAATTAAAATTATTATTATTATCATTATTTTATTTTTATTTTTATTTTTATTTTTAGCTGATGGGCCTGTCAGTATAATCATGGAATATGCATTGTACGGGAACCTTCACGATTTCCTTAAATATTGTCGCCCCCCTCTATTTCCATCACGAGGAGGGGGCCCCCTTATGTACAACTGGATCAACCACCACACAGCCATCAGTAGTCCACATAGTTCCTATTCATCTTCTTCCTGCTCTTCTCCTAGCTCCTCAACGACTCCATTTCTCGATAAATCTTCGCACGTTCCTCTCTCTGCTCAAGTCTCCAACTCAACCACCCACACCTACCTCCAGTTCTCGTCAGACTTGACCACACCCCCTCCCTCGCTCCACCAGTTTTCGTTGGAGGATCCTAGTGCTGGGCGGAGTCTGTTTGAGGCTCTGTCCCATCAGGTTGCTGGGTTAGTACCCTCGGCTCACTCTGCTTGCCCTCTCTCTCACGATTATATCAACATTCCTGGTAGAATTAGGAACGGCGACTTTTTGAATTTTGCATTTCAGATCGCATCTGGACTTGACCATTTGAAAAGAATGAACGTAAGAAAATAAATAATAATTCTAAAAATACTAATGTAATTGTTATTTCAATATAACGATAGCTTTTTATCTTCCTCCCCCTTAAACATTAAATATTATTAATAATTATATATTTTTCTTCCCTTTCCTTTCCCCCCTCTCTCTCTCCCCCTCATTTAGCTCATCCATTGTGATTTGGCTGCACGCAATATCCTTGTATCAAAGGAGCAAGTTCTCAAAATATCTGATTTTGGTTTAGCAAAGGAAGTATCAGATGACAAGTCCTACTACAGGAGAAACCCACGGGACAGGATACCAATAAAATGGACATCACCCGAAGCCCTAGAGACTTGGGTCTATTCGCATAAAAGTGACATGTAAGATATGACCACATGACTATCACATGATGAGTATGATATTTATTTTATACAGATGGTCCTATGGAGTTGTCTTATGGGAAATTGCCACATATGGTATGTATGTGTGAGAGCCTTATAATTATTTCATTTTAATTGTTGTTTCTCGTTATTTAGGAGACTCACCGTACCGAGAGGTGAATACCAGTGGCATATGGGACAACATGATCTCACATCTTAAATCTGGGAATAGACTAGAGCAGCCATTGAACTGTCCTGATATATTGTAAGATGACTTATATACCATAATAAGGCTTTACTAACCTCTCTCCCTCTCTCTCTCTCTCTCCCTCTCTCTCTCTCTCTCTCTCCCTCTCTCTCTCTCTCTCTCTCTCTCTATCCCACTCTCTCTTTCCTTTACAGTTACAATATAATGTGTATGTGCTGGGAATTGGATCCAGAGAGAAGACCAGATGCTACAGATGTCATCAAATTATTATCAAGGAAGCCGTCGCTATTATTATCTGATGTATCGGAGGATGACGCCAGCAGCTGCCACTCTGACAGTGTATATGTAGACACGCCCATTTAACAATGACACACCCACAAACATAAACTCGTATCTCATACACATTACAACATTACAATACATGTGTCAATCTTTTCACAAAAGTTAATAATAATGATCATTATCAATTGGCAAGAGAGACAAACGTTAAAAGTAGCATCTGAACATAAAATTAGCCATACTTTATACATGCACGTTAGAACACGTACACGTACAATTTTACATTAAAATTGTTCATTAATTATTATTAGTTCCTGCCTCTCCATTCTTTATTTTCTCTTCGTACTGAGTTCTCTTGTAGTCCCTTCTGAAGAACAGGACAAAGACTAGGAAAGCAAACGTCGCCATTCCAACGAGCAACAGGCCACAGTTGGTCCAATTCTGAGGCTTAGCGTTATCAGTGAGTGTATAGTTGGAGCGACGACCATCACAGAGGGACATGGTCTCGTTAGAGTTTGGTAAAGACACTTGACATTCATTGTAAGAGAGAGTGTTTGAATCAATCACTGGAGATATTAACTGACCAACGGTGACAAATAGGAACCCAAATATCTGACTATAGAGAGAGAAGGAGAATAAGAGAATGGTAAAAATTAAAAGCATTTTTAAAACTTACGCTGAGCTCCATAGTAATCCTGAGCTGGTAGCCTCAGCAGCTGGGAAGGTTACCTCCACTCCTAGCTCCATGGCAACAGGGAGGAATCCAATGGCAAAAAAACCAGTGACACTAAGCAACACAGCTAACGCAACAGGAATGTGCTCTATAGTGGAGACCTAAACAAATAACAATAATAACAACAACAACAACAATAATAATAATAATGGTTGTAAAAACTGGCCCACTTAGCAATATAAACAGTAAAAATAACATCCACTTAAAGCTACTGGAGGAGACACAGCAGACACACAATGTAAAACAGTGACTACATGTACATACCATAATACTAGCTACTGCTTATAATAACATCTTCTGGCATACATGTACATGTACATGTATCTTCTTTATGGAAGCACCATACATGTACATGTACATGTATGTAAGCTCAAAAGTGCATGTAACTGCATTTACATGTAACTGCATGTACATGTAGCTCACCTCAACGAAGCCTATTAATGTTAGTATGGTACAGGATAGACAGATCATCCCTATCTCCTTGTACAGTCTAGTTCTACTGATCAATAATCCTGAGAGTGTAGCACCAATCACACCAAATATTATTAATAATGAGCCCCACAGACCTGCTGCTTTCTGTGGAGAGAGAGAGGGGGGGGGGGGAAAGAGTGCAATAATTATCCACGTAAACATTCATTGTACACATAAGTTTCTTCATTCCTATTACAGAACTCACGTACATTAGAGTATCCATAAGGACAGACATATTGAGGTATTATGATTAGGACGGCATTAAACACTCCAGCTCCTACGCCATACGTTGTCAGGAGAACCCAAAAATTCACATTCTTGAAAGCCTACAAAATGGATGATAATAAATAACATAATTTTCTGTGTTTACATGTAAAGGAGGAAACTTAAACTTTTCCTTCATAATTGTAATATGATCAAAACAGCTAACACATGTCACAGTAGTACATTTAATACGTCATAGCCACATGCGTTATCTATTATTAGTATTTTTGTAATGCTGATTAAACACTGTTAGATCTAGAGGGAGTTTAGGAGACTTTTAGTCTCCTACATTTGGTCTAGGTCACCTACAATCTCTCATTTTTTAGCTTGTGGTCACTCATATTTTATACCAAAACTTCTAAAAGTAACAATGATCATTTACACATGCTTTTACTGCTACTAGTATCACATGTACTAATGATATGCTACAGCTTACACTTTTGAGTCCTTTAACGAAAGGTAGGTTTGGAGTATCCCCACTAGCAGTTGGAGGAATGGGAGGAGAGGAACGATAAATAAAAGAGAAAGAGAGAAGAGCACCAACACCAGCTGGAATAATATACACCCATAACTAAAGGAGAGGATTAAATCATAATTATGTAGCCAGAGACATATTTGTGGTAAGGATTTTGCAACTTTTATAATTCATAAAAAATCTAACTTTGATCGGAATTAGTTCAAACTTGAAACACAACATAAGAACATGTATATGCATCAGAAAATGTAATAAAAATGGAGAATTCTTTCCTAGTCATTTTTGGTCAAATTTGGCCAATGACCCTGTACTATAGTACAGGGACTTTGGTCCGATTTTTGAGTAACTTTAAAAAATTGTAAAAAATCCAATTTTAATTGGAATCAGCTCAAACTTGCTACACAATATAAGAACATGTATATGCATCAGAAAATGTAATAAAAATTGAGAATCCTTTCCTAGTCATTTTTGGTCAAATTTGGCCAACGACCCTGTACTATAGTACAGGGACTTTGGTCCAATTTTTTAGTAACTTTAAAAATTCGTAAAAAATCCAAATTTAATCGGAATCAGCTCAAACTTGCTACACATCATAAGTACATGTATATGCATCAGAAAATGTACATGTAATTAAAATGGAGAATTCTTTCCTAGTCATTTTGGTCAAATTTGGCTAATGACCCTGTACTATAGTACAGGGACTTTCGCCCAATTTTTGAGCAACTTAAAAAAATCGTTAAAAATCCATTTTCAATCGGAATCAGCTCAAACTTAAAACACAACATAAAAACATGTATATGCATCAGAAAATGTAATAAAAATTGAGAATTCTCTCCTAGTCATTTTTGGTCAAATTTGACCAACGACCCTGTACTATAGTACAGGGACTTTTGCCCAATTTTCGAGCAACTTTAAAAAATTGTAAAAAATCTAATTTCAATTGGAATCAGCTCAAACTTGCTACACAACATAAGAACATGTATACGCATCAGAAAATGTAATAAAAATTGAGAATTCTCTCCTAGTCATTTTTGGTGAAATTTGGCCAACGACCCTGTACTATAATAGTACAGGGTCGTTGGCCAAATTTTAGAGAAACTGTAAAAATTTTCATTTTGTCAGAAAAAGCTCAAACCTTTTACATAACATAAAATCCAACTACACATTATATAGATAGAAGGAGCTGATAATGACAATTAATGATTTACCATTGTGGGTAGTTTTTGAACATCAGTGACAATGTATGGAGACACTATCTGTGCAACTGCTATACCCAGTGGATTAGCTACAAGAAAATGAAAATGATAATATATACTCTCCCTTTGTCATGCTACAAATAATCATAATATGTATTATAATAGGGTATTTCCCTTTTAGTTATGTTTTTGTTTATCTCTGTTTTTGTATAATAATAACTAAATTAAACTAATAATAATTAACATACCAACAGAAGCAAGGTCAGTACACAGGCCCCTCTCTTTAGCTCCAAACCAGGTGTTTGCTAGTTTTGCTGGTGCATAAAGAAAGAATGGTTGAGCAAAAGCTGTGATGACCTGTCCAATAATGGCCGTGATGAAGCCAGCTTTGGAGTCAGAGCAAATGATGGGGTCAATGGTACTCAGGTAGCGCAATACAGCTCCTAACAGGTTACATACAGTGCCAATGATAACCTAAAGAATTAATAATGATCATAACTTAATGACTTGTAGGAAAAAGTAGATTAGCACAAATTTTCTACATAGTATAACAGGGGTATCAGATATAAAAATCGAGAACTTTCAAAGCCATTTTATTGGAAAAACTATGAAGAACAGCAGCTTATGGGTCTTTTGGCTAACTTTGAATGAATGACTAGTAGCTGGAATCAGTTCAAACTTTCTACATGATATACATGATTATGAACAATTAAGATAAGCAATATATCAACATGAACTAGTTAATCAAAATGCAATGGAACACATGTACAACAAGCTTTGCACATTTAAAGATAATAAAGATAGACTTACAGCTGTTCTAAGTCCAAATACGTCAAGTACAAAGATGCTAAAAAACCCAACGATAAGAGAAGCGATAAAATAACTGTTTGAGAACCAGTCGACCTCAGACAAGCCAACACCATAATAACTAGCAGTAAGACTCGGAACCGGAGAATAGCTTAACCACATCTAAAGGAGAGATGGGGCATTAAATAGAGTAAAAAGTAAAATGACAGAATACACAAAAACAGACAAAATATGAAACATTTATTATCATTTATCATTATAACGCTTGTTTATTTTTTAATTTATTGTACGCAACAACAATCAAGAAATTATTTATTATTATTGCTACAAAAGAATTAGGTCACTTACTATTCCATTGCTAAGGTTCAATACCATCAATGCTACCAACATCAAGTAACGAATAGGATACAGTTTATACTGAGCATGAGGCTCGTACTGAGGTGGTGGTCCGAAGGAGCCGTTTGACCCCGTGCTGATATTTTGAGTTTTATTCTCCAACTGGACTTTAGACTCATCACCACTAGCAGCCATGTTATTACCTATGCTCTCGCTAGCTTCTATAACAAGAGGAGCAGTTTCGGTCGGCCCCTCTAACTGTATTATCTCCTGATTGTTATGATAGCCCCTCGTTTCTTTTTCCTGCTGATCAGCCATAAAGCACACTTTTATTGCCCTAAACCCCGCCCAGCTAATGAATTCATGTGCTGCTACATTGGCCAGCTGCTTTAGCATAAAAATACGACCTCATGCCCCAGCCCCAGGGTATTTGCAGTACTAGGAGACTAAGGTACTGAAAGTTTTTAAAGGATTGCTGCAGAAAAAAGGGCGTGGCTCACAATGATTTTAACCCGATAAAAAAATAGAAGGATCTAGAAGTCCACGGAATAGCCAATCAGATTGTCGTAACTATGGTAACCCCGCCAAAAATCCCGATGCTGTCCAGGCAGGCGATTTTACATAAAACGGGATTTCTCTCGCTCTGGTCATTTTTAGAGTTTTCTCCAACCAAAACCGGTCCACTTGGCTGCTGTCACGCTGTCTGCTGTCCACTCTGTGAGTTTACTTTTTGCTGCCTCCTATTCCCACTCTCTCTACTTTTATCTGTCTTCATGAGTTGTCACTATTTGTTTCTCTTTTCACAGGTCAAGCAGACAAGGTTTCTTTATTGCTATTTCTTTGTGTTTGGCTTACTACCCTGGGTAAGTGAAGCCTACAACAGCCTGTGCTTCATAACCTTAATTTTTGTCTTTTTCTCCATATGCATTTTAGGATGTACGTGTGACAGGCAATTGAATTTTCCCGCCATTTTTCCCGACTCCAATTAGTGCCCACCCAAGCTACCTTTGTCATGTAGCAAGGCTGAAGAGCCAGTATACACAAGATAACTGAATTTAAGTGAGTCTTTGTTCTCACTTGCAACTTTATACATTATGTTTTGATTAGGAGAGACTTCTGTCTGCTGTGCTTTATTTGGTAGCTGTGATCGTTTCCAAGCACTCGAGATCATTTCGAAGATCCTTTTCATTGTTTCTTCACTTGGAATTGCTTCGAAGTTGCTTTGACTTGTGAAGTTCTCCGATATCCTCTAGTAATTTTGGAAGCTGCAAGTCTGTATTTAATTCTATATAGTCTTGCTATGCCATCACGGCGAGACTATGCACACATACCTCCCTTGCATGAGTAATAATATTGTCTGTCTCTTTCTCTTTTCTTAGCTTGCGTCAGGTAGGAGATCATGCGATGTTGCATATACATATTGTTCTCTAACCTAAGACTGATTTAGAACTTACACTTTGCTCTTTGTGTGCCTTGTGTTGTGACCAGAGGTGCTGTGTGGGCTTGTGGTAATGTACGTCTTAATGTAAATACCATTTGTTCATACAGCACCTCCGGTCACAACACAAGACACATGAGGAACAATGTGTAAGTTCTGGAGCAGCCTTTATTACATGTACTACACAGTATTCCATTCCCCCAGCTGTCATCTGCTATGCTTGTTTATGATTTCTTATTATTTCTCAATAATGCATTCCTATACTGTATTGTGTAGCTGTATCAGATGACAGTTTGTATGAGCTGTGTAAGCTCACAGCCATATGTATAGCTTACAAGAAAGCCTGTATACAGCCTGCCAATAAAACATTGTTTGCTATAGGAGGGAATGGTACAAAACTACAATAGAAGACAACAGCTTAAACAAATTAAAACTTTTCAAATTTTGTAGAAAGGATAGCCTAAATTTTATTATTATTTTGTTCCAGAAAACAGCAAGAAACTTCACACAAGGTTGATCACCTTTTGTGTATTCTTATATAATTTATATCTTCCTTTCTCCTTCTAGTTTCATTTGCTATATACAGATACTGCAAACTGGTTTTGTCTCTGTTATTTTTGGTAAGAAAATGTTTGTCTATTTTTATATTTATTACTACATTCCTCTTTTTATAGGCTTCATCTGTCCTGTTTGACCTGGTCTCTTTTCTCTTGTCTGCTGGTTTCCCTGATGAATTAGATGCCGTCCTCAGCTCTTGATTCGATGTATACATTTTGCAGTACATCCTCGTCCTCTGACCCCTGTACAGTACCTTTGGATCATGGTTATCATTAAGGATACCACTATACCAGTTAAGCAATAAATCAGGAGCCCAACCTTTTTCATGGGCTCCTGAATAGTTGTACTATGCATCATACATCCCTTTGCATGTGTACATGTAGTCCCTTTTTTCAAATAAAATTTGAGAGTTTGAGAGTACACCCTTATTATACATTGTATTATACAGGTGAGTGGTGACCCTTTACATTAGCTACTACACAGTAATATTGTACCATTCCTATACCTGTCATTGCTTGATGCTTCTTCCTTTAGCTTAGGTTCGTCTCTACTTACTGATTCGACAAACGTTTGATCAGGAAGTAACCAAATAATGCATTGTCTTATAATATGTATTTTGTGTATCAAGCAATGACATATGTCTTCATATGTAGCATTTCAAGAGTGGGAACTGTTTACCCGAAAACAGCATACCCTCTTGTTTGCTATAGGTGGGAATGGATAGTCAAAATTTTTTACTTTTTGTTGGAGGATTAAAAATAGGCCTCATTTTTGAATTAGAAGATAATAGCAATAGAAGATTGATAGCCTAAAATTTCTTTTTTTATTCTATCATCATTATGGACAAAAGGATAGTTTATATTTTTTGTGTATTAATTTTACTTTATTTTCATTCTACCTTTAGTTTCACTTGCCTATTGCAGCTAGAGAGGACACTGCATGACTTTCAATTCAATTATAATAGAAGTTTGATGACCTTTTGTATATTCTTATATAATTTACATCTTCCTTTCTCTCTCTAGCTTCATTTGCCTATGGCACTCTGCAGTCTTTGGTGGTTTTAAAATCATTTATTTATGCCTTACCTTTATATATCAATATAGGTCTTATTTGGATGCTGTCTCACAATAGCTTTGGTGGAGTTATTCTAATTTGTATCATACAGTTATTCTTTCTGTTTATAGATCTATTTATTGATCCCTTTCGCTGTCTTCCCAATGGAATGGATTGTGTCATTTTTATTCTGCATCTTTTAAGTATCATCGTTTTTTCTTTTGTGTTACATATGCTGCACTGTTCACGTGTTCCTACGTTAGCGGTTACACGTGGTACTGTTCACGTTCTTTCATTGCTGCGTTGTTCACGTGCACTGTTTGATACCAGTGACCCAATTCATACATGTTCCTCATATAGGTGACCCAATTTATACATGTTCCCCATATAGGTGACCCAATTCATACACATTCCTCTTATAGGCGACACAATTCATACATGTTCCTTATATATGTGACCCAATTTATGTTCCCCTAATATCATGAGTGCACTCATAAGGTGACCCATGCATACCCATATATACATAGTTAGGTTATATCAAGAGATACATACTCTTGGTTGCATAAGGTAAGGTTATCATTATCTACCCATCAACACCATGTTCCTGTTTGAAAGACTCAAGATTTTACAGTATAGTATCAATATTGTCTTGTATTAACCTTTCTTTTTGTTAAGACCATACCAAGTTCCTGTTTGAAAGACTCAAGATCTTACAGTATAGTATTGATATTGTCATGTATTAACCTTTCTTTGTTAAGACCAAGTTCCTGTTAAAGGTTGAAATCCATTCAGTTAGTGTCAATATATTATTGTTAATTATCATTTTACAGGTTGGGCAGCAATGTAGTGCCACCTCCACGTGGCGCTGCCTGGGATCACTAGTGGTTACTACTGCTAGTGATGCTAAGAGCACTACATGATGAATGATTATGACTACTCCAGTAGCTACATGCAATGGGAATTACATTTCATTCTCAGGTTACTTTGCTAGTGAACTCAGTGCATTAAAAAGTATGTTAGTATATATTTCTTAATTTTAGGTCACTAAATTTTTCATCTATGCAGTAATTGAACTTGATGTAACTTGTTCCTTTTCCTCTATACCTCTCTCCCTTCCATTATAGATGGTTCAAGAGACATATTGTATCCATTAATTATTACAAGAGAATAATGGATTCTGAATTTCTGATCATATTAGTTCCAGTTATCCTGCTCAGTTGGATGAGGAATCTGGACCATTTCTCCTCCCCCCCCCCTCTCTCTCTCTCTATGCTGATGAATCTATGGACTGACTGCCAACTCTATCTTAAAAGACTGAAGACAGGAAATGAGCATTCACTGATTACATTTCATACTCTTCATATGCACTTATGTAATTAGCTACACGCAACATTTTTTACTTTTTGCTACTTTTATAATTCAGTTCATCATCAAAATTGTCAATGCTACATTGCTTTGGAAGGATGGTGGGAGGAAAGAGAGAGAGGAGTCTGGAGGAAGGAAAAATAAATAAATAATTTCTAGTCTTCATGGGTGGATGCCAGCAAAATGTGATCCATAAAGTTGGATGATATGGGATCCATTGATCAACACTTACATGCACACCACTTATATGCACTTATGTTACCTAGGTTACAGGTAGCATTAATTTTGCTACTTCTATAATTCAGTTGCAGGAGCTGCATCAATTGCAATTCACAGCACAATCTGTACATCATAGTTTGTAGTCT